TGGTGAGCTTACTATTCCTGAAGCTTACTATTCCTAAACTGTGTCGGCTCCAACAGAATTTCCCAGTCGCAATGCCGAGGCTTGCTAAGGATACACAGACCGTTGCGTCTTACCTGGAAGAAATCGACTGCCAGGAAGTTCGCCCACCGGCTCCCTGCCGCGGCGTAACACGCCTGCAGCTTTGCCTGCAGCGTTACCAGCTGGTTGTCCGTGCACGCGGCGGACGAGGCCTCCAGGTCGCCGAACCAGTTAACTAGGACGAGCGACTTGCTGCGGTCGCTGAGGCCCGACGAACCGTTGTCGCGGACGGGACAGGAGGCCGAATCCATCCCTCGCGTGCCGTCTGCGGAAAAGCCGCGACCGCGAATCAGGCACCGTTTCATGATTGATTATGAGAATGGGAAGGCTTTGAACGCGTGCATAACTGACTGCACGAGATGTGTACGAACAGCTACAGAAATCTTTTTCAATCTAGCAGGGACCCATGCTCCTGTAAGAAAGTAGGTCGCGACTGTGGACGAGTTGAACGGGTCGCGCTGGCCTCGATCGCTACTCGTCTCATCTCTCCTGTCTCTGCTTTCATACCATATGATTTTGGAATCGTACAGCTTTCGCAGCTTCGGGAAAAACGCTAGATGTGAGGCGATAAAGACAGCGGTCACGTCGAAGGACTAGATTTGTCGTTATTTCTCCGAGACCATAACCTGCCTGCCGAGTGCCTACGAGCAGGAAGAGGCTTACACAAAGACCTGAAACTTTTCGAGCGAAAGAGGGCCGCCGTCAGCTACGAGAGAGACAGCCTATTCGAGAGGGAATAACATTTAATTGGCAGCATTCCTTGCATACAAGTGCTATAGAGTTGCGTCAAAAACTGATCAAGACACGGTCAAGCTAAAACGGAACAGTAAACGTGAGTGAACTTCTCTCAGAATAATTCTCTAATTGTCGTTCAGAACATAGCCACGTGTCACTCACACATCGCCTCCACGTAGTAGTCCCACTGCCAGGGCAAGTCCCCGCCTCGCGCGTCCGTCCACACCACCAGCCGTCCGATCGCCGCCATCGCCCGAACGGAGGGCCAATCTGAGCCGTCCGTTGGCATCTGGGCGCGCGGGAATAAATATTGCGAGAGCCCCGCCGCTGCGAGCGCTGACGTCAGTAGACTTGGTGACGTCCGCGTGACGTAATCCTCGAAGAAAATTGTGACGACTTCGGACGGATGCGCGTCCATCCAGGACTTGATCTCGGACAGGACGGGGCCCAAGGGGACCTGCAAATAAGGAGGATGACGTCTGCTCCGGTGGGATTGTCTGATTTGCTGACGTCAGTTTCCTGGGGCGCTGCGCAGGCTGGGGCCTTTGCCGACGTGCGCTTTCGTCAGCTTGCCAACGACGAACGCCGGCGACCAGCCAAGATGCGTAGGCCATTTCAACGAGAGAGCTTGTATAAGCACTGCCGGTGGCGGCTTAATGGTAGGGGAAGCACAGCTGAAGAGCGTTTGCCTGGATACTGACGTAAACTTTCAGAGGAGCACGTTTTCGAAGGAGGCCACGAGCTCGAGAAGAACCTGGCCGCGAAGGCTTGTCTCTTTCCAATGGATCCCGTTATACTCAACCCGTTCAGACAACGAAATAGTTGAATGGAAGCGGCTCAAGAAATGCGAAGACAACCACGTTCTGAGAAGCATGGGTGCCAGTTTCATGTCAGCAGCTGTACTCCAATGAACTTCCGCACCCGACCGATTACAGGTCGTATGCGCGCAAGCCGCAGCCGGTTCAAAAGGGAGAAATTAAAACGGGAATATAGATTCGGTATTTCCGGCTTTTCCTCACCTTTCCAAAATTGCAGTAGTTGTGACATAGGTACACGTCACCCTTGACCAAGTACACGTCTAGCATCAAGCCCCGCGCGCCATACTGCAAAGCAAAGGCGAGTATCTCACGTTTTCGCTCATTCTCTCGTTTCGCATTCTCATCTCGGTTGACGCCTCTGGTTTTGTTTCACGTGCGCAAATAGAGGGACCAACTCTCGGTCGAGCAGACATGCACGCGGTGCCAGTCTTTTGGATGAAGCCCGGGGACTGAGATCGGAAAGTCGGGAAGCAGTGAGATTCGCCTTTCGAGAAGGACATTCGCGCAGATTCAACACAGAGATAAGAAAGAAGAGGTCGTAGATTTCAAGCTTCTTCTTGAACCAACTTCTGTTTGCCGTCCGGACATCTGAAGATGCCGTCACGGCTACGACTTTTGAAACCCGTCGCAGGCGGGAATGAGTACCGTAATTGAAGACTGCGGACGCCCTTTACTCCTTGTCCACACTCGGAAGTGGCTAACCTCTCTAGTTCCCAGAAAGCCACCGTTTCCTTTCTTGAAAATGCCAAACGACGTGCCTTCACTTTCACCGGACCCGAAGCGAACGAGGGGGAGCATCTCACGTTTAGCTGGTCGGTAATGGACAGGTCTTGGTTGAGAAAGACGGCGTACGGCCACGTGTTTGGCGGAGCCACGTTCTGCGCATACGCGTTGTGTGCGACCAGCCAGGGGACCTTGTTGTACGGCCGGTCGTAGTCCTACACATGAAATAATTGCGTTTCGGACGAGCAGTCAATACGGCGCTTTGATTCTGTGGACTCCCAAGACGACTGTTTTCTTGGCCGTCGGCTGGACCCTTGAACCGGTCCGCTTTTTTCTCCCAAGTTTCTCAAGGAAATCATGACTTCAATATCCGGACTTTTTGGGCGACGCCATAACTAGAGGCGGCGGGTTGGCTGGTTCGCCGAATGACTTTTGCCTGGTGCGTCGGCTCTCGTACAATACTGCTTCCGACTTCGTTCAAGAAAATTCCGCAGGGGTCGAAAAGGTAACAAGAGCTTTCCTTCCTGAGAATGCTCCAGTGAGGACTTTTTACGAAACAATAAGCGTAGGCAATTTTCTGAGCTGCAGAGGAAGCAGCTGAACTCAACTGTGGGAGATGACAACCACGAACTTCGAGACGGAAACCAACCGATTTGGGTCGTTTGTTTTCTTCAAGCAAGCAACGATTGAAACAGACTCAGAAGAATTCATAGTGGTCACAGGAAGACTGAACCCAGAGTGAAGACCAAGAAGCTCTCGTTGCTTTTGCAAGGAATGACACGGCCCGGCATCGAACTTACCGACGGCTGCAGCGCCCAGCTCCCCTGCCGACACGTGGTGACGTCACCACCCCCCGGGCATTGGTCACACAGCAGGCCCTGACCGCACTGTGACGTCAACGAGCATGTGCCGCCGAGCTTAACGGTGGCGACTGTCGACTGTACTAATGTGGTCCGGTTTGCGACTCCGGGGGATTGCGCGGGGGCGAGGAGGGGGAGGGGCGGTGGACTCGACTGGGGAGCATTTACGCTGTATGAGAGTCAGAGACGGAAAATTGAAGGGTTTGCAATCTGAGAGTATAGAAGAATGTCAAGCCAAGAAAGAAGATGGGAGTGGGTAAATAAGGTGAAGGGCAATCGTGTCGAGACCTTTGCTCGGGAAGGTGGGAGGAAGATCCAAGCAACAGTTGCTTGGATCTTGGCGCTAGATGAAGGGGCTACGAGCCCTTTTCTACAAGTAGGCGCCAATCACAAGCACGGGTACTCAGCTGCTGTCGACTACTGACGTCGTTGTTCTTTTCAGAATGTAAAGAGACTTTGATACTGAGCACCGGCAACAAGGTGGCTGATACGGAGGCTCCAAAAGCACGCAAACTCTAGCCTCGAGATCAGGAACACCAGACCCCCATTTTGCCCTGCTGAGCTTCTAGCTTGGAGAACAAGGAACAGTCGAAATGGTGAAACAGGGGCTGAGGCTGACCTCGCTCTACAAAGGCCAGAGTTGGAACCGCACACCAGGCCTGGTCCACAGTCAACGTCGCCAGTGCACGGGTCGCCTACCCGTTTTGGGCTTTGGAAACACTGGCATGGAACGTAAAAAGCAGTACGAGTGTCTGAAAGGGTCAAGAGACAAAGTGATATTCAGGAGAAAGGTATTTGGCAAAAGTGTACGAACACAGAGATGATAATGATACATAAACGCAGAGCAGAGGGAAGCGTGCTTTTCGTTATCTGCAACTGAGCAAGCTGCAGAGTAGGTCTGACGAGGACAGGGGTCCGAAGGGACTGAGATGCTTCTCAAGAAAAAAGCAAGAGTCTCCTGAAGTAATCGAAAGAAAGGCCGAGAGTATGAACCATCAACGAGCTCGCGTCTTGAAATGCTCAAGAGAAGGCGGGTTCACGTCGCAGCACACGAGCCGTGTGTTGCAGTTCATGACACCATTTGCGACCTGGACTTACCTTGTTCCAGTTAAGGTCGCAGGAACTCCCGGCGGCGCAAGAAACTGTTGCGTTGCAGGATGGGAGCTGGCAAGTGCATTGAAGTCGCAAGCGGAAGCAGCCTATCTGCATCAGGAAATCAGGGAATCATGATATGTACGTAGCAAGTTTCTCCGTATCCTTCACAACCCTTATAACGTAGGAACAGTTTTACACCACTCAGTCAAAACTGCTCTCATACAAATTCTCACCTCATCATTTGCAAGGGAGGAACAATTGTGTCGCAGCCGGCTCAAAGGCTCTCAATCAAACACTTGATTGTATGCAGTGTGAGTCCTATTTCCAGGGGGGGGCTTGATCACCAGGGAAGTTCACCCACCGCTGGGAAGCCGTCCGGACAGTCATCTGAGAGTTGGCCGCGACAGGGGCACACTTTTGGAGCTGCGCTCTTCCATCCTGAAACGGCTGCCCTGAGGCCACTTGGCCAGGGGCTCCGTGCTTCAGCGGCAACTAGAATGGTTGACAGAATGCTTATCCTCGCTAGCATGGTTAAGAGGAAACATGGCCAAACCGGTTGGACCATTCTAGTTGCGCTGCTTCGTGTCAGAACCCCTGCAAGGTTCTGTGAAGTAGAACCTGGGGAAAGCTTGGTGAAGGAAATCAACAAGCTATATTCAGATTTGCAGGTTCTCGGAAGGTAAGCTGAGGGGAGTATCAAGCTGCCACCAGAACCTTTCAGGATGAGGTGCAATGAGGACTTGGCTCATCAACACTCTCATCTGTCTTGTCTCATCAACACTCTCATCTGTCTGTTGCCTGGGGCAGTCCGAGGCGTTCAAACTTGCAGTTCTAGAGCCCAGCATAGCAAAAGTTCCTCAGACTGCACCGTCCAAGTGTCAACCCGGAGGGGTGTGAGCAATGCTGAGCCCTAAGCTCCAGTCTTGGCCAGACTGCGCAATGCTGTGCCTCAGAACTGAGAAGCTGGTCTTCTATATAGAATTGCCAGCGCTCCTTCACCCCTACACGTTTCTCCTAGGAAGATCGTGGCGTGCCATCTCGTTGTTGCACATCAGCAAAAACTCTCTCTGTTTTCTTCTCTGTCACAGCATTCCTCGTGGACACTCAGATCCTACCTTGCGAAGCTCACGAGGAGAAGTTAATGTGCCAGAACTGTCGGTGAAAGTCGAGAACACACCTGAAAAGTGGAGTCCTTCTTCACACCCCAATTTGCTGAATGGTTTGCGTCGGTACATACCGATTCGGTAGAAGGTCCGCACGTTTTGCTGAGGCGGTATGTACCCTGACCGTTCTTCTTTTAGGGTTTGGTGAAAGCAGGGTAAAACACGAGCCCAGGAGTCTTCCCCCGGTCACCGTTCCTCAGGGCGCTTGTGTGAGGAGAAGGGGTCCCCGGTCAATGCCCGGTACGCCAAAGAACGCTGCGAAAAGCGTTCGTGAACTCCGCCTTCGTTGTCTTCAAGTTCTGTTCCAATTGTGCATGCATCCATTTTGAGCCACATTGAGCGCAAGAGAGAGAGCTAGGCTGATATGAAAGGCGCTCCTTGAACACCCAGCCGTGGTTTTTGAGCGTCAAGTCTGGTTCTCTGTGTAGGTTGATGCCCCCCATTGCAACTGGTTTCCTGATATGGCTCCTCTACCTCGGACCATCATCCTGCCTGTCAATGAGTCTCCTGAGTGCAATCACACAGTCAGCTGGGCCGCCAAGTACCTTCTGAGAAAGGAGGATACGGTTGTGTTGCTCCATTTTCGCCCCCAGATATCTGTGTTCGATCACTTTGTCAAGGCAGACGGATCGGGGACTGCAGTTGCAGATGGAAAGACCGTCACTCCAGATGTGAAGTTGCATATGGTGGAGGATACATACAAGTCGATTGGGGAGGTAAGCTGGTTTTCTTTCCGCGTCGGTCGACGCGCCGTATGCTGGCAATTGGGAGAGTGAGCAAACCCTGATGTTCAGTGCTCTAGTATTGGAAGCTCCAAACATGAGTGGCTGCCAATGTTGCAACAAGTGGTGAGTGGTGACGTACAAACAATCCAATGGGCAAAACTTTTGACCAAGTATGTCAGTCTGCTACATTGCTGTTGCCTTCAGGATGTTCGCATTGAAAAACCCCCTTTAGAAATCTGCACTGAGTCCCCATCTTACAATCTAGGAATCTCCTGCCAATTGAATCGTGCTTAAGTTTCTAGGGAACTTCAATACCTGAAAGCTGAATCAAACTTGCTGTCCTCAGGATGTCTTGCACAAGGCAGGGCAGCCGATCGCTGCAGAGGGCATCGAGTACGAAACCAAGGTGATTGAGTCGGGGCACATACAGGAGGCCATCTGTTCTGCGGCCAAAGAACTAGGGGCAACCATGGTGGTCCTGGGGGGTCGGGAGATGGGCATCGTGCAGAGAGCGCTGCTTGGCAGCATCAGGTGAGCGATTCTGAAAAGAATTGCAGTCGGATGGAGCCTTTGTTGACATTTGCAGTCCCTGCAAGAAACTGTCAGTGGTTTCCATAAGGGGTTCCTGCTCACGGGTTTAACCGCAGGGCGGACCGCATGCCCCATTCATGGAGTTTTATCCAGCAGTTAGAGCACTTGTCTCTGTACTGTTGTCAAACTAAATTCTTCGTTTGAACAGGGGGGCGGAGCAGCTTCCAGCTCTGGTTTGCCGGAACCTGCTCTGAGAGCAAAGCCGTAGATCTTTGAAGCCATTCATTAAATTTGCTGAGATATTGCCATTCCAAGTATTGGTGCATTTCACTCTCCCTAAGCAAACTTTGGTTTCAATGTGCATTCCTGCAAAGTAATGATAACGTGCATGGCTTAGACTCCCCGCTTGCCTGCATTTTATAGTAAGTAACGAGTTCTTGAGACTGTAACATTCCACTGGCACATACTTCTGTTGACGGAGTTGCTCATCAAAGTGATCTTTCATTCTGCCAGATCGAATTACCAGCACAGTGTTCAGCAATGGAAACACGTTTTAGGGCACCTCGTCAGGCCAATCTCCAAGAATCGTTGCTACATTCGTTGTTAGAGGTACAAGCACGAGTTCTGGAATAATCTGCTCAATCTCGTTGTTAATCAACAGCCTCGTTCCAAAAGAGAGTCAAGTTGCGGAGATCTGTGTACCATCCCTTTCCTTCCTGTGGCACAAATCCGTTTCCTTCCTGTGGCAAAAAGCCACAACATGCTGATGACAACTGTTCCTGTCTGTTCACAGTGACTATGTGATCCACCATGCTCCTTGCCCGGTCCTCCTTGTAAAGAAGAACGAGACTGAGGAGACTGCGGCACTCGAAACTTCGAGCAGCAAGCAACACGAGAAGTGAGTACTGACTTGTATAATGAACAGCTAATATTTGATATTCGTAGACGCTGCACCAGCAGTTCGGCAGAAAGATTACCGTCGAAGAATTGAGTACGATAAGGGTTGTTACGTACCAATGGAGGTTTTGTACAGTAGGTACTTGAAGTGTCACAACTGGTAGCCATTCTAGACCTTTGCAAGTATTACGAGCGCCGCTTTGGTACGTACGGAAAAACCATTTTGTATTCTATAGCTTCTGAAGAGACGAGTGGGCTACGGTAACGTGGACTGCTCTGAGAATCCTGTGCCATGCCTGATGCTGCCCAGGTTTACTAACGGGTCCTTGTCACATTCTAGCGTAGCCGGACGCCGAATCAAGCGTCCCGAAACATGTCTAGTCGTCCTGTTACTAGGTACCACACTCGAATTTTGTCGCAATCGAATCATGGTCTTCCCGCCAGATGTGACCGTCGATTCTTAAGCCCCGCTCAAGTGGGCGGCTGGGTCTCGAACTGCCTTGAAAGGCTCATGAGGATGCCTTTGAGGACCAGAATTAAAACCAATGGAGAGGTTGCGGTATGAGCAGGCTCACCTGCAACTCTGGTGGTAGGTATCTGTCGACTCGATCCGAACGTGCATGGCGGCTTGCCAGGGTTTAAGATCGCTGCATTTACTGCCACATGGGGACCGCAATCTGGATGCCATGCCGATGTTGCCGAGACCGTCGTACGATTGAATATGGAGAAGACACTCGCATATAGCGGATGTTAAAGGCGCGGCGCCGCAATGGCCATAATTGCGTTATAGATCCATGTGCAGTGACGGTCAAATCTGCTATACATCAACTTAATCCCGCAGGCTCGAAAGTAGCCGGGTTTGTACTCTTTCAATCCGGCGCCTCATAGGTCATGATGCATGGATGGAAAGGACGTCAATCATTCACAATGGCGGCTGCGCTGGCTGGCCGCATGCCAGCACACACATGATCCAGATTTCAAGAACTTCTCGACATCACCGAGCTGAGTAATGCCTGTTGCACAGAGTGAACCAATCGCATCAAAGCTGGAAAGATTGGATGAACGACGGATTGCTGGTACGTTGACGAACATTCTAGTAGTGGATTCAATGTTATGGAGCTGCCGCACTTTCGTCATTCTCAAACTCTCCGATTCTACGCAGCCTGAACTGGCCGGCTACTGACTTAGGCCTAGACATTTAGTAAGCGGGCGAACAACATGAGCGAACGTTTGACCACAAGCGTCCGAAATCCGATTGGTCCGAAAAGTTGGCCACAAACATCGTTTTGGCAAGTGGTTGAAAGCATAGTTCTTGGAGAGTGGGCTCTTTCTCTTTGGCAGGAATGGCAGAGCGTATGGTCATGGTCAGTCCCTGTCACAAACGCGTGCGTACGCCTGCGCTTAGCGCTCGTGATTGGACGGATGAATGTAAACACGCTAAAAGCGGCGGCAGGTCGAGAGTCAGCCAAGGTCGAGGGCGGCAACCGCGAAGTAGTGTTGGAGGGAGTTGCAGTCAGGGGCATCGCCCAAAGCCTGACAGAAACAGGCAACACAATCAGCGCGTCAGTGTAAGAGAGATACCTTGAAGCTTGGGACAGAAGCCTCTCAACAAGAGGGGCAGTTTTATCGCCTAAGGCCCGACAGAAACAGACGACACAATCAGCGCGTTGAGCTGTGAGAGTCGGAGAACTTATCGAAGGCTTTACAACAAGAGGGGCTATTTCATCAGCCTCAGGAGTCCTGATTTTCGCTGTTGTCGTGGCGGTCAATTGGCAAACGACCAGGTTGGGACTCTGAATGCGGACCTGACCATAACAGCCGTCCCTACGACGTGCTATGACAGATAGGACCACCTGTTCCAAGAGGTTTCAGCCTCAAGCAGTCAGGTTAGGCGACAAGGAGCCACCCCAGTGTCAGGCTCAGCCCCCCGCAAACTCATGATCCTTGTACGGAACACCCTCTCCGATCAAGAAGATCTTGCAGCCTCCTCCCTTCAGCCGTAAACGCAAACTTTGCTCAAGAGAAAAAGAGAGAACATGAGGTCACCTGACGTATGGTCGTGTCCTCCCGCCGAAACCCGAGGCCTTCCAGGAACCGGCTCCACGCCAGGTAGTCCCCCCGGGTGCTTTGCCCGGTCGCTTCCAGCCCTTCGGGTGGCTCCACAATGTAGATGACACACGGGCGAGGATCGCCGGACCGGTTCTGCCGGGCAATCTGCGGAAGAACGCTTGTTGGTAAATCTATCTTGGGGGCTTGCAAGCAATGCTGCTTTTTCTCGGGCTTGTTCTAAGGTCTTGGTATTACTCGTTTCGCTTCGCGGAGCCTTCTTCGACGAAGATGGTCGAAATGGAGCTCGTAACATCTTGAACTCCCTCACTGCGCTTGCCACAGCTTCAGCACACCATCAGAGCTTATGCGAGCATCGAGACCCGGCTGAGCACCGACAAGTGCTTAAACAAATTCAAAGGGTTCGAGCTTGCTGGTGAGAAAACAGAGCATTGACTGGCGACTTACAGACAAACGACCGACTACAGCAAACTCTCCAATGTCAAAGCCAGATCAATTCGCTCGCACTCAGCGCTCCAAACAAAGTCGACCCGGCAGACTGGGTGAAATTCCGGGAACGAGATAAGTAGCTCGCGCAAAAGCTGCGACTCGAAGTATCAGCAGATAAAATGAGAATGGCAAAACGGCTATGACAAAGCCCAAAGGCAGACACAGAAGATGCGAAGGGCACACCTGTTTCAGTTGCGTCAGCAGCAGGGCCCCCGCCGAGGCCCCGTCCCCCGCCACGACGGGCCCCAAGTAGTGGCACTCTCGCCTGGAGTGCGCGAAAGCGAACCCTTTTACAGGGCCTCCCAGAGAACTGCTCTCTGCCCGGTCTTTCTCGCCGTCAACTTCCGAGGCCCTGTTCGGGCCCGTGTTCGGCAGCCACACTGCGCACTCCGGGCTCCGCCGCTGCCACCGCCGCAGCAACAGGGCCCGGTCCGCGCCGAACACCTGCCCGTCGCAGGCCACCACGGCGTTCCACGTGTCCTCCTCGTCGATGCGCCGCACGGCCGCTGCCGCGCTGCTGACGTCAGCGAGCGTCACCTCCTGGTCCAGGTCGCTCTCGGTGATGTCCCGCAGAATCGAACCCAGCAAACCAAAACCCGTGTTTTCACTCCTTCGCTTTCTTCTAAATCCGCTCCCCCGTTCATTGCTCTCTCCATCCTCAGCCCCGGAAACACTCCCCGCTTCTGATTCACTCCACGTTCTGTCCCCCCCTAAACTGCTAACCTCTAAAGTCGCCCCCCCGCCAGCTTCTACTCCGCCACTCTCTAGATTCTCCAGTGCTCGCTGCAAATCCTCCGGCGCGATCTGCATGCGGTGGACCGGGCACACGTCCTGGAACCCCATCTTGTCGTACACTTGCTTGCCCATCGGCGTCGCGTCCAAAAGGACCGCCCGGCACCGCCGTCCGGACTGCAGGTGGTGTACGGCGTCCGAAAGCAGAACCCGGGCTAAACCCCGGCTGCGGTACCTGGTAAAGAGGGGCAAACGTAGGGTCAAGGACGGGGAACCGGCATTTGCTTGCTATTACGGACACGGCTCCGAAAGTGGGTGAGAAGCATGTATAAAGCCTCGACTTCGGCGCAGTGCACTTTTAAGATGGACGTCTAATGCAGAAGAAAAGTGTAGGTGCCTTTCATGTGCCAACTCGGAGTTGCATACAAAAGAAGATCATACAATTTCATCACTTTGCGGTTTTTGAAGCTGGACAACTCAAGCCCTCTTCTTCGAGTAAAGTCTAATCGGTGTTGGTACCTTGGATGAACCACCACGTTTCCAATCCAGCCGAAGGGGTTGCGGTCGTCTGGAGGGCGGACGCTCTCGTGCTTGGGTCTCGGGTAGTACACAGCTGACACTAAACCGGCAAGGAAGTCCTGGCCCTGACAGAAGAAGATCGCGTGTGTCAAGACTTGTGGTTCGATGGCAGCGGTGTTTTCTTGTTGCATCAAGTTTGAGACGTTCGTCTCGCTGTGGCCCTCCGGATGTCTGAAAGCGTCTGGCATGAGCCTTGACAGAAACAGAAACGTCGCACATCGAGTTGTTGATAACCAATTTCACGGCGTGAGCATCTTTAAGACAGGAATCTTTCCATTCTTTCAAAGTTTCGAAAAACTGACCGCCAGCTCATCAATGTTCCTCCTTCTTTGGAAGGCTGAGGATGTCTGCGAGGAGAGTCCGATCAGAAGTGACGCCTCATGTTAGCTATTCAGATTGTCTGCAGCACGCCAAGAAGAAATGCTGAAGTGGCACACATGTTTTTGACTTCGAATGACGCTTATGACAATGCGCAACATCCAAGTCTCCGTCGCCGTTCAAAGTGGAATACAACGCTGTCGATATTTACGAGAGATTGACAGCGTTCAAAGAAGCTAGAGACCCGCTCTCCTTTCTGCCCAAAATCCAGCCGTCCTGTATTTTACGATCTGACCTTCCTATCTTGCACACTACTCATCAGGTCGGATGTTTTTTCCAAAAGGAGACGAATCTGAACAGAAAACTTTCTCCAGAGTAGATCAAATATGCCTTACTTGGCCATCGCAGTCCCAGATTCCAAGGAGGTCTCGTCTGTCCATCTGCAGTAGGTCTTCCCAGACGGGGGGGTCAAAGTGCACGGTGTTCAGCAACGCCTCCATGGCAGGGATGTCCTCCTCAGTCAGGGCCACCAACTGCGGGAGGCCAAGGAATGCTCTATTAGTAACATCAACTTTACGGACAGATATTCTCTTGGACGCTCGTAGATTTCTTTTGTATCTTGACAAGAAAGCTTGTCAGTAAGACTCCAAGAAGCAAGGATGTCCTCCTCAGTCAGGGCCACCAACTGCGGGAGGCCAAGGAATGCTCCATTAGTAACATCAATTTTACGGACAAAAATTCTCTTGGACGCTCGCAGTTTCCGTTTGTGTCATGTCAAGAATGCTTTTTAGTGGACTCCAAGGCAAAGGCATGGGCTCCTCAATGAAATTGCGGGACCCAGATACCGTTGTGTTGATTTTGTTGTTTCTGCAAATAGAAGCTTCCCGGACACTCAGTGTTTATCTTTATATCATGTTGAGTACAATTCAGCACTTTTGAAGAGGTCGCTGCTTTCGCGGTCAGGGTATTGCAGGAAAGAAACGAATGTATCAATGGGGTGTTGCAAGGTGCAGAAAGTCAGAGGGTGTGTGTTTGGATTGTGCGAATTCGGGTTCAAGTACCCAGTAGGGCTTGGGAGAGTATTTCTCGCAGCTTTATGTTGTTACTTGCACACCATCTGCTTCAGAAACCCTTTTCTTCTCTGTCAAAGTTTGGTCGGAACCGGAAGGAATGGGTGGTAGAGAAATTGTGATAGTCAAGGGCTAATTTCACTTATTTGCGCCGCACCCACAAATTGTTGGATTCCACATAAGTCAGAATAATGCGCACGCGCTTTCCTCACCACTGGATGTAAAAGCAGGCATGGCCGTCGCAGAAGGCCGAAAGGCAGAAAAGGCATCAACCCCTCACCCTGAATGAACAAGACTCGGGGCCTTCATTCATCAGACAGAAGCTCCCTTCCAGGCGCGATTCCTGCCCTGTTGCTCCCTCATGAGAAGCGGGGACTGGCTCTAGTGCTTTCACAGGCTCGCTTTGTTGATCCTGATCCCATGTGCTAGGTTCTGCATTTGATTTCTGCCAGGCTCGGAAGTCAGAGCTTCCCGTGACCTGCCACTCAGTGGCACTACACTGAACTGTGTCGTTGCAGAAGCGACGGCGGTCGCGGCTCAACACATCGGTGCTGTTGCATTGTGGGAGAAGGAAAGGGGTCAGCGGCTTGGACTGCACATACTGTGGCACCATAACAAAGATACAATGTATACCAGATTTCAGTTTTGGTGGAGCACAATCTTGAGGAACACGTTGAGTTTTTAGGTTGCAAACAAGTTTCAGCCTCAATGCTTTTTTCTTCTGAGTGCTAGAGCAAGTTGTTTTGGTACAGCACGCTCACGATGCATTTGCATTGGCCTCCTAACACGCGCAAGAACCTCTTCCTGAATCCATAATGGACCAGGTTCGCGGCGAAAACCCTATACCGAGTCCAATTAGAAGGTCTCAATACCGAGCATATCATCAAACAGAGTCAACTGGAGGTGATTTGATGTACAGCATTCTTTCAAGACCTACCGTTGCTGGTCAATCTTAAAAGCAGAGCGCAGCGTCCAAAAGAGTGACTCCCGTCCTGCTACGAGATGTCCTGCACCTTCTTTGCACCTTTGATCCCTCGTCTTAGCTAAAATACCAGTGTGGCCATGACAGTGACACGAAGAAAGCGCCATTGCAAGATTTTTGTCTCCACCTTTTCTAATCCTGCACAATGCAGCTCCCGCTTGCTAATTATAGTATTAGTAAAATGGTACAATGAACTGAAGGGTTGGGTATTCCTAACCCTGGGTTACAACCAGGGTACCGACAGGGTACAGTGTGCTGAATCCTGACTTCATTGTTGGACGGTCTACCACAGCCCGTGGCAATATGCAAGAGAACCGGCAAATGTCTGTTCGCGGCCCGACAAATTTTTGGCCTGTGCTTGCTGCCTCCTTCAATGGAGCATCTTCCTGTGGCTCCTCGCGGGAGCAATCTGCCGCTTTCGAAACCGTCAAAAACACCGACATCAATAGGTACTTGTATTTACTGAATGGGTTTGCATGACCAGTTTCTAAACATACTACTAACCTGTTGAAGGGCAAGTCAAACATCAAAACCTCCGGCCCTCGCTCGGATTGAGGGAGTCCGCGGGTGCTGCCGCGCCGGACGCGCTAGCACACTAGCTCAGTCGCGGGCGGCCGTGTCGTGTCGGCGGCCGGCCCGGGTCACTTACTGAATTAGGTGCGATCATTGAATGATTGGCTGGGTCGGCATACACGAACCGGGTAAGTACGCTCGTGAACGAACGTGACCGGGGGACGGGTTAGGGTTTTTTGGGATCTTGAGGGGTTTAGGGCGGGTCTGCAGGCGTCCGCTAGTCCAGGTTATAGGTTTTCCGGTTCATGTGTGCCCGGCCGACTCTGTCCTTGCCGACTCCTTGGCCGGGAATTGTCGCAACAAGCTTCCGTACATGCCGGATGGGATTCGATCTTTGTTTACCTGCCGCGAAACTTGAAATCCGGATATCGACGGCTGGGATGGCCGGAGTGTGTGGTAATCGACGCCTCACGCTAAGTAAGGCGGCAACTGACATGTTGATGACGTTCAAGTTTCGTCACAAGGAGCATTCTCGGGCGACGGAGATGCATCTTGTACATGGTTGAACAATGCTCGCTGCGCATCATCGAACGTGAACATAATGATGGCGGTGCTTCGAGGTTCTTGCAGCTGGTGGGGGTACTTTCAAAAGGTCACTTTCATAGAAGATGCAAAGTGCTGCTCAAGTCTGAGCACCGGCGCACCTCTAACAAAAGCGAGAAACACTGCATTGTTCTCAGAAGCTAGAGCAGCTCAAGGTAGTGTTGCATGAGGAGACACCACATTGCGAATCTTCAAGGATCCATTGCACTGGTATATATCTGGATGAGCACGGGCAGTCCCAACCTACTGATCAGCAAATTCACAGCTGCAGAGTCTCTTTATCAGCTCCCAAAGCCCCCCTCAATCCTTCAGATCATCAGCTTGAGCTTCCGTCTTTCGATCAACACAAGCAGACGTTTCCTCTGTCTCTATTCTGCAGCATCCTCTAAGATCCTTTCAATTCCAGCTGCAGTCACGTTCCACCAAGATGGCCACAGCAAAGACATCTGCAGCTCAGACCAACGAAGACACCACGCCTGTTCTGAAGGCAGCCGCCAATGGCGTTCCCCCCTCCGGCAAGAAGACGGCGATCGTGACAGGGGCCTCCAGCGGCATTGGCTTGGCGACGGTCCTGCGGCTGCTCAAGGGGGGGTACGAGGTCCACGCTGGCGCGCGGCGGGTCGACGCAATGCGCGAGCTGGGGGCGCAAGGGGCGCATTTACACCACCTGGACCTGACCCAGCCCGAAAGCATCGAGGCGTTCGTGGGGGAGGTCCTGGCGGCCAGCGGGCGCATCGACGTGCTGGTTAACAACGCGGGTTACGGCGCGTACGGGGCGGTCGAGGAGGTGCCGCTGAGCGACGCGCGGGCGCAGATGGAGGTTAACCTTTTTGGGTTAGCGCACCTGATCCAGCTGGCGCTCCCCACGATGCGCGCGCAGGGGTCGGGGCGCATCATCAACGTTTCTTCGATCGGGGGCCGGGTGTGGTCACCTCTGGGGGCCTGGTATCAGGCTTCCAAGTTTGCGCTGGAGGGCTTCTCTGATTGCCTCCGCAACGAGCTGCGTCCCTTCGGGATTGACGTGGTTGTGGTTCAGCCAGGGGGGATCAAGACGGAGTGGGCTCCCATTATGGTGGACAACATGATGAAGACCTCGGGAACGGGGCCTTACCGGGAGATAGCCGAGAGGGCGGCGGAGGTGCACTCCAAGTTGGGGCCCCATGCAGCAGAGCCCAAAGTTATCTCGGACGCGATTTGGACGGCGGTCACCGTGAAGCGTCCGAGGTCGCGCTATGTGGCGCCCTTCTCGGGCAAGGTGTTTTTGTGGCTGCGGTCGGCGCTAAGCGACCGTGCGTTTGACTGGGTGCTTGGGAGCCTCTTGTTCAACATGCCAAAGAAAATTCAGGCGGAGTCTGCGAAAGTCAAGGCGGCCTGATGTCAAGATAGACAGGACACTGCTAGGAAAGAAAGAACCTAATCCTAAACGACGCTAATCAAGATTCTGAGGAGGCTAGTATTATGATTGTAGTAGTACTGATGCTCTGTTGGGTGTTGTAAGAAGTCTGCGTTTGGCCCATAACGTGCTTTTAGTATCTTTGATAAAAGCCGACTTTGTCAGAAGTGTTTGTTAGGCAGCTAGTTCAGGGAATAAGTGTAGCGATACCTCCTGTTATGCAGAAGTACCTTTTGAGTTTGGCAGGCTTTGTAAGTAGCGGGAAGACAATGCTGATGTAGACACTTGTGAAGTTGTAAGGAGACGACTCAATAACTTATACAATCCTATCTTACACAGTTTGCCAGGATTCAATTCGTCATACTGTCGAGTATGATCTTCATTGTATATGCTCTCTTGGCTGAACTTGATGCTGCTAGTGCCTTGATCAAACCTTGAACCATATAGTCTCTACATTGATGTGAGCCGCATGAGCGTGTACCGACTGAGGGCCCGCCCACAGTAAGTCACTGCAAGCTCCAGCGACAACCGGGACTCAACTCTCTAGCTTCGTAACCTTAGCGAATATGCCAGTAACAGTTGGATGCATCCGCAACCCCATATCTCGGCCAGTGTGCAGCATGGATGTTAAAAGCGTGGCCCTGAGTGAACTCGCTCGTTTCGAATCGCTTACTCCTTTGCAGCCTGTCATGCTACGTTTTGAGGAACTACACAGGGACTCTTGCAATCATGCATGGTAATGAGCTTGTGATCGGACAAACAATGGAAGTGCGACAGCAGATCACATGGCGATGATGTTTCAGCGTCCTGATCTGCTGATCATAGGGGTCTATATCGCAGCCCCTTGGGCTGGTAGTCTTGGATCGTTCTCTAGTTCATGTGCCCGAAAGGGAATCCAATGACGGACGCTGTTGACGCTACCTGAGGTTTCAAGGCTGGATTACAAGGTTTGCGATCTGTACCTACACGAATGGTGGTTAAACAAACGTTTGAAAATGGCAGCCAACCAGGAAGACGTGTCTATATCTAGCCAGGTAAGGGCCCAAACGTTGCAAGCCAGCACGATACCCAGGTCGACCTTGATTTGGCCGTTCATAAGTAAACCCCTTTCTCCGAAATTCCCCGCTCTACATACTCCTGGATTCCACATGAAAGGCGGAGGAAGACCCACCAGTGCCCCTTTCTGGCGCAGGATGGTGAACCGACACCGGCCACGAAACAAGAGCAGAATGAGCGGGAGTTTTTGTGAACCGACACCGGCCACGAAACAAGAGCAGAATGAGCGGGAGTTTTTCTGCCGCTCCGTCCTCTCTCCACTCCGAAACTGAGGAACGAAACCGAAACAGCTGCAATGCTGTCCGCTTTTATGATCTTAAGGTGGCTAGCAGTCATCGATTGCACAGAAGGGTTTCCGTACGGGGATGCCCACCTTGCTACTGGTCACCGAATGATAGGTCAGCGCAGTGCAGGTGCCCGCGCGCGTACTGCCACTCGCGCGCGAGCGTACTGCCACTCGAGAGCGCTTCGCGGCGCTTCCGCACGAACCCACGCACGTGCCATGCGTCCAGGGGGGCAAGCTTTGTAAATATCGAGTCCACCTGCAATTGAGCGAAGGTTCCTTTGGGGTTCCGTACAAGGCCAGCAGAGGCAGCGCCACTCTCAAGAAGGTTTATCCCAACACAGTCCGATGGCTTACGACAAAAGCGGATGTACCAGAAGGCGCCAGTTCATCTTATCATTATTCTTATTTGTTCGTGTTTGCTTCTTGTCATCGTCACTCTCGTTGTTATTCTGCGTGTACCATTCTTTCGTACCCGGCCCGCCCGCCAGCCCTCTCAAACTTTGACGAAGAAGGGCGGCACAGTGCAATCCTTCAGAAGCTCATTCCCTCAGAAGCTCTGCCGATAAGGCCCTCGATAACTTATAAGTACTCTGAAAGTACCACTCGGGGATACGGTTTCGTTGTCAAGGCAACTCGTCGCCCCACTTCTTTGCCGGACTGCTTGCTTAAAATGGGCTCCCAGGTCGATGCGCTCCTGTTCCTTGGATAGAAACTCGGGCGAGTGGAAGATTCCGGGGTGAGTTATTGGCGTCCACCGTATCGCCGTGGCTGGCGCCGCACCACGAATCGCGCAGGTTGACAAACATGCGGTCCGCACAGTGGTCGAACTTGACGGCCTGCAGCACGCCTGCAGCTGCCGAATTCAGCATGTCAAACGGGGGCAGCCGCACCAGATGGGTGGTTTGATTCGGCTTTTGAGAAGTGAGTGGGTCGTCAAATGCTGCATATTTCATTTTCCAGCAAAATTACCAGCAACCCTTGCTGGAAACCCTTGATAAGCTTTCCTGCAATCCGACACAGTTCTGAAGGCATTTTGGAAAAGTGCAAGGCTTAAGAACGCCTTCGAGAAGCAAACAGACCGTGCCCGCGCATCGGAGTACGAGTGGCTGCCGTTGTGGAGTAGGAAGATGACAGATGCAATTCTTTAGTCTGCAGGGTTCTTGAGCATTATAAGACGGTCGGCCTGCCAAACAGAAGGTCTGGTACAGCTTTGCTTTCTCAATGTGAGACCCTACGCTATTCAAATGCTCAGATATCGCCTTCTGCTGACTCAAATGTCCGTGAGTACGACAGCAGGCTGCTTCGTCCAGCTATGTATGCTAAAGAGCGCCTCCTGGAAAAGAAGAGCAATCAATTCCAAATCCAAACTTTGGGCAGCCCGATAGCGCAGGTGCCCCGCAGGTGCCCCAGGTGTATTTGAATTTTAAGGACTAGAAAGCGAAGCAGCATTCCTATTCAGCTCCAACACATCTACTCCGATCACGTGGAAATCCCAAGCAGACTCGTGCAACATGCCTTGTGCAAAGCGACAGAGCAAGCCAAACGATCTCGTCGTCCCCGGCCGGTCCCCATAGTCATGATGACACTGATGACGTTCAGACGAGACCGAAACCTCAAAGTTAGGCTTTGCTCCCACTTGACGAGCGCAAGTTGTCGGTGCACAGTCGTGCACATCGGACAGCGGCACCTGGACAGCCTCGTGCGCGCTTGTCAGGCCGCGCCGCTGCTGGGCGCGGAACGCGACGACGCGGCCGGGTGCTGCTCCCGAGACGATCATTGTTGCGGCGCCACGGCCCGCGGCCGCGCAACTTGCAGTAAGCCCGCAAACCTCAGGCCCGCCATCGTGGCCTAACAGGCGGCCGCTGCGCGCTCGCGGCGGCCGGCGTGAACGCGTCGGAGCACCAGACTCCCTTTTCTTCAACGTTGATCTGTTGATGAAGGAAGTGTTCTGGCTCTAAAAAGCGGTTTTTAAACAACCATCACAAGACGCTCTTCATTATGGAACCCCTGTCTCTCGTCCAGAACTTCCAGAAGCTGCAGACTGCCCTAAGGAAGATTGTAAAAGATGGTCTCCGTCTTGGAAGCATCGAAACCGAAGGGACATTTTATGGGAAACGGTATAAGTCCACCACCTACGGACAGAAAGAGCGTCTTCTTGCAAACACGGTCAAGGAGCTCTACGGAAGCTTTGCCGAGAAGAATGTGTTTTGTTGTGGAGGATTGGTCAAGCTGCCAGAACATGACCTGAAAAGCGTGATCGTGAAGCTTGTGGATGGGCCCCCCCAAAGTTCCACGCTGCCTTCGTCCGCTACAGAGACTGGCCAATCTGGTGAGTAAAACCAACTTCCAAGACAAAGTGCTCCTCGCAACGAAGGCGCTTTGATTGATCCACAACCAAAGGAACAAGCACCAATCCCCTACATTTACGCAAAACCTTGTGTGCCTATTCGTCAGAAGTCACGCAGTTGAGCTCGTTCAAAAATGTTAACAGTCACCATGAAGTGAGAACCAGAGCTTTGCAGGCTTTCAGCATCTTCCAAACGCCTTTCAAGACCGTCTGCTGAGACTTGTGAATCCCGAATACTGTGCCCTTTGCTTACATCTTTTACACCTGAGTTTGTTCAACCTCTACTTCTAGGATGCCGCGGCACTGAAGCTTGTGCATGGTGCTTTCCATGATCAATGTGTGTAGACAAGAGATTCTTGCATGATTGAAACTCCTGTGGAACCTATTAGGTACAATCTAGCTAGCGGGCGCGCTGAGGTATCACCCTGTTCCAATCAAGTGACCACAAAATGATAACTTGCTTAGCTCTGTTCAACTTACGGTGCAGGACCAAACACTACCCTTGCTGAGAGTATCACGAACCTCATCCTCAAGAATGTGATTGAGAAGAGCAGCATAGCAGGGTTCGGCGACCTAAAAGAAGGAGCAAACGTAGTCGACTACTCTGTCAGAAAGGCTTGGGAATCCTTCTTCCATCTCGATTTCGACTACAGCTACAAGCCAAGCAGCAGGACCTACATTCCAGGCTTGTCCAGGGTAAGAATCAATGAATTGATGTTCGGAATTTAAGTCGGTCGCTCAGAAGCCATCTTCTGTTCATAGACCGACTGTTTTTGCCTTCGTCTGCATTTCCTCTTTCGGCAGCAACCTCGTTACTAAGCTATCTCTCTCTACAAGCACGGAACGAATAGCTCAAGCTCGATTGGTCACTGAAAACTGCAGGATCCAATAACGTTCTGGCTCCAAAATTGCAAATCTTCTCATCTCACATTTGCTAAGGTATACTGTGTCCTAACTGCTTCCGAATTCAGAAGTTCTTTGGATAATGAAGAGTAGGATTTGAAGTAAGGAGGCTTTGCCCAGCTTTTAGAACAAGGTTCTTCGAGAAGTACGTTTTGAAACTTCCTAGATCACATGTACATCTCTCAGCTTGTTCTTAGCTGGTTCAGAAGCAATCTATTCTGCTGTCTTGGCGGTTTTCTAAAGGGCGCAGTGCTTTCCTTCAGGGATATCTCGTCCGTCTGGGACTGGGGAGCCAAGGGCGGCTGGATCATTTGGAGTGGCGAGCAACGATCGAAGCGGTCTCAACAAAGGCACTGAAAACGAAACGGAGCGTGGAAGATCCGGAATATTATACAGCAACTTTTACCGCAAAGGTGAGTGATTGTTTGCTTGACGCGAGCTTTGCTTGACGTGAGCCTATTGCTAAGCAACTGAGATCTCTCCCCTGTGAGTCTGCTCCTCAAAAGGCAGAGCTCCTTTGTGTCACTTGTGAGGAGCAAACCAGAACCACGGGTCTTATCCGTTAGCATTCGGCCATCCAGTACGTGGCAGGAACGGTCTAAAGGAGTTACTAAAGAGGCATCTGCGGATTGACATTTATCTATGCGCTGCTTGGATCACACTTCCAAAGTTGGGAGTTTGCATGTTTCAAATCTTGTGTGTTGAGTTCGACTGGAAAAGTTCCTTGCTTTGCAGGTTACAAAAGACGACCGTTCCCTGAAGACAACAGTCACTGCTGGCAAGGTCGAGGAGCCCCAGGAGGCTTATGCTCACGTTGACCTTTACGACAAGAACGCCCTACAACTATCGTACGAGTGCGAATGTGGAGAAAGGGCAGCAAAGTCGGCCCTGACTTGGTGTGACCACGCCGTGGCGACTCTCGTTGCGTTGGTCGATCCGTTGGCGAACAAGAAGCGCCCGGACTTTGAATACAACAAGGTAAGCGTGATTCTCCATGAAACAACTGATAGCAGCGACTTCGACACGTCTTTGACTTCCAATGGTTGCAAGGCACCACCAAATTCCGGTAAGCAGCTATCGCGATCAGTTGCGTTCCAATCCGGACAGCGTAGGAAACGCGGGTCTACGCTAATAACCAGAACATCGGAGGCCACATTAGTGTCCACACACTGAAGGCTGCCAGATCTGCATCCGATCATCTCTGCAGGTGCGCTTTTCCTTCCAGTACTTCGATCGTGGTGAAATTCAGAGCCCTTGATGGACTTTATCTACCACCTTTCTGCAGGCGCTCTTTTTGCAACCCATTATGAAGCACATCCAAGAGCGCATGGCCCACGGCGCTCGTATCTCGCTCCTGCCGTATAAGATCAACGTCTACGGGGAAGGCGGCTTCTTCAAACGCCACGTGGACTCCCCCCGGGATGTGAAGAACATGATCGGGACGCTGGTGGTCTGCCTGCCGTCAGAGCACGAGGGCGGTGAGTGGCTCCATGCCAGCAAATCCGTGAAAATGAGCTACTACTTTACGTGTCCTCAAAAATAATGCGATGCGGCTTCTCTGACTAGCGTGCAAAAAACGTTTTCACCTTCCAGGGATCACCTGCTTCACAAGGGTGATGTAACTTGTGAAAAGTATAAACCCACCTTCGTGGATGAAGCTGACACCAAAGTGTTTTCTTAGCTCCGCCCATATTCGTCTCCGATCACGACTTGAAGCGATAAAACTAAGCAATCCACTTTTTCGGCCCCAGCAATCCACTTTTCCGGCCCCGTCAACAGGCTTTCTTTTGTGCACAGGAGAGCTTGTTGTGTCTCATGGGGGGGTCGACCACGTGTTTGACTTTGCCCCTCGTTCCGGTGACCGGGAACGAGTCCAGTGGGCCGCCATGTACGGCGACTGCGTGCACGAGGTCAAGGAGGTGAAGAGGGGCTTCCGGGCGACCCTCACCTTCAGCATCATCCAGGAAGAAGAACCGAAGGAGGAGGAGAGTCCCTACTGGATTTGTCGCTCCGACCCCGAGGTTCCTCGTGTGCGCGACAACTTGTCAGATATTGGATACAAGATCAACGCCGACGTCGGCCATTACGACCTTCCGAAAATGGAGGTGGGCAGCCGGATTTTCCGCATTTCCATAGCTGTTTTTCCAAGATGATAATCGATGCTTCTGCTGAATTTGTATTCCAGGTTCTCAAGTCTGGTTCAATTATAGCAAACGCTTCGTAAGCACGGTCCGTGAATATCCATTCTTCAATCTGGCCATATTGAAAGATCTGCACGGACGGAACAGATGATGTGCGCAGCAAGACCTGTTAGCTTGTACTAGGTGCTTCTATCAAGAGTAGATTTCATTTCAAGCCTGCGCAATCCGAATATGCTTTTGTCGACCTTTTTCAGGATGAGGTCAGCAGCGGCCCTTGGAACAAGCCCGAGGCGGAGCGCAAGGCGCAGTCCATCGTGGAGGCCCTCCGAGCGCTTGACCCGGCCCCGGATTACGTCACCATCCTGCTGAGCCACGACTACACGCAGGCCAACCTTCTCCGCCCCGAGATTCTCAAGGGGAGCGACTGGGTGCTGCACCAGGCAGTGGCCGGGGCTTTCCCGGTCAAGATGCTGACGGTCGTGACGCGCGATCACTGGAATCTTCCGGATGAAAGTAATGAGGATTTCCACGAGGGTCAGGGAGCGGCCAAATACTCTTGTTACGCTTTCACGAAGGAGGACCTGGCGTGGCTGGTGGGGGAGGGACCTAAGCCGGAGTACAAGTGGGCGGCGTCCGCGGCCGCGGGCAAGACGCTGCTCGTCGCGCCGACGGCCGCGCAGAAGGCGAAGCTGGAAGAAAGAGAGAGCGGCTACTCGGGGAATGAGTACGAAGAGGGCGGGGAAACGCTGAGCGTGTACTTCGAGGCAGCGCTAGTGATCGAGATAGCAAAGAAAGTCTGATGGACAGTCGAAGAAGGAAGATAGAGACCCGGTAGAGAAAGTCTGGACGGCAGGTTCTCAAGGTCTAAGCAGGTTTCTTCGGATGCATGTTGCCTTTTGCGCGGCGACATTTTGAACTTGATTTGTCTGCAAGATGCACAGGCTTCGTATTCAATACAGCTACAATCAAGTTTTAGCCGCCAAGCTGATTCAGTCTGCGCGTTGACTGTCTCATACTCATTGGGTGACCTACGCGGCTGGAGCACCTCAGAATGTCGAAACCACCATAAGCCGCAGGGTTCAACCTGTTCAGCTTAGCTCCTCAATATACAAGTCCAATAAGCTGTCGGGAAAGACGTGCGGATGATAACGAGCCCAATGATTTCCGTGCCCTCAAGTTCAAAGCACTTATCAAAATCGCGGAGCATGCCACTACTAGGCACGCGGTCCGAAGGTATTGGACAGCGAAGCATCTGGGCGTCACGAAAGGAATGGTCCTGGCGACGCGATGCGACGGCCCCTGCGCGCTGCCACGGTGTAATTCTTCCGGACGCGCGCGGCTTTCGGCGCGCGGCCGCGCAATGTGCCGCCGCTCTGCGTTGCCGAGCTGGCGGCCTGGCACGTGACGCGACTGCAGGCGGCCGCCGTGTCGCCCGGCTGCCGTGCATCGGAGAAAACAACGGTGTTTGTTCATTCGTTTATCCTGCTCAGTACTTCTGTGGCGTCCGCTGAGGCGAGACAGCATCTTGGATGTTCGATTTGGCGACGGCCCCGCCTTCGCAGCGGCTTATTCGCTTCTCGTCTTCGCTGGTTCTTTCAAGAGCAGGTTGCTTAAGACACATTTAGTCTTATCCAGTTGAAAGCCAAGGCCTCTTCCCTGATGGAGCCTACTCATTTGGTCAGGAACTTCCTAAAGCTGCAGAAGGCGCTTCAGAAGCTTGAGGAAGTTGGCATCCCGTTGGGAAGCCTCCGGAGCAAGGGCGTGAATCAAATTGAGGAAGTCCAGTGTGACGATTACAGCGAAAAGGAGCGTCTTCTTGCAGGAAGAGTCAATGAGCTCTTCAAGGGATTTTCGGAGGAAAACGTCTTCTGCTGTGGAGGTTCAGTCAAGCTACCTGACAATGACCAGAAGAGTTTGCTGGTCAAGCTTCTGGATGGGGATCCTCAGGAATGCACATTGACCTCGTCCTCTTCCGGTACGTACATTTGAACAAAAACCTCGATTTCCATCATTGCTTAGAACAGATTATAAACGAAAGTAACCTGGAGCGAACTACGAGTGCACTTTCAAAGCTTGACTCGGAAACCGCTTACAGGCTGCTTGTTCTTTGAGGCCAGACTCGCTTAAGTACAAATCTATCCGAGGGCAAAGACCTTCTTGCCTTTTGATTTTGTGTAATTTTGTTCATTCTTTTGTTTTGTTGCCAAGTTTGATCAAAGCCTCAAAAATATCCTGGGGTCGATTGCGTAGACCATTAGCCAGCGCTCTGAATCATCTATTTGCCTTTGGCTGGGCAGGTCCAGAACTTTTGGAGTTTATAGCCTCACAGTATCGCTTATATTTTCCAACTATCATCTAGCAAATGTGCGTCTCAACTTTCAGCAGCATTACGAGGGCTAGTACAGATTGGCTTTTACCAACCTCTTCTTTCCTCCTACTTTGCAGCTCCAAAAACCACGCTTGCTGAGACTATCACGAACCTTGCCCTTAAGACCGTCATTGAGAAGAGCAATATTGCGGGCTTTGGAGACCTGAAGGAGGGAGCTAATGTGGTCAACTACTCCATTCGGAAAGCTTGGGAGGCCTTTTTCCATCTTGACTTTGACTATACTCACATCGATGACCATAGGACATACGTCCCAGGCCTGTCTATGGTAAGAAATGCTTTTCCAATTCCGCGTTCTGCTTTTGTCGATAAGAAGCAGACAATTAGGAACGCAGTCGCTACAAAAGCAAGTGCGAAAGGGAAGGCTTTGACGACTAGGCTGCCAACTGAAACTGATAACCCGCTTGGACCATGCATTGCAAACAATATCTCTAGTAAAAAGCACACCCAGGCGACAATCGAAGATAGATTCTGGTGCATGTAGATGGCTTGATATCTATCATGGCGCGCAAATCGAGGTCCAAGACAGGATTCACTCATTATACGTGGAAGATGGACAAGACTTCTCTAATCTTTACTTCTTCAGGAGACTCTCGTCCGCTTGGGATTCGGCAAGGAGCAAAAGCTCAAGCTGTTGAAGGGGCATGCCACGGTCCAGACCATCACGCAAACATCTGTCCAGAAGTCGAGGCACAATGAGAGTCAGGGTTACTACACAGCTACGTTCAAGGCGAGGGTAAGAGCATGAACCAGATCGTGATGATTTCACCTAACTTGTCTCCTAATGAAGACAAAGTGGTTGTCACAATCTAACTATCTTCTTTCGAATTGTGTCGAGACGGTGATTGAATGACGCAAGTGGACCAGAACCACCAAGACATCCCTCGTCACAACATGCAAAAGCCGCGAGTTCCATGTTCGAATTTATGCCTTCTTTAGGTCAGCTTAATCAGCATAGGAACAATTTGATCAAATCAGTGAGTTCAAATGCGTTATGCCAACTAAAGGCGATGCTGCGAGTACATCAGTGCAATTGAGCATTCGTTGTGAGGTTTTGCAGGTCACAGAAGGCGAGCGCTTGTTAAAATCGAGGATCACCGCAACCAACATTCCAGAACCGCACTCCTCCAGAGCAGGCTTTGGTTACTGGGAGTCTCCGTCGTTTTCCTACGTCTGCGACTGTGGATCACAAGCTGGGTCGCCAACCGCTGCCTGGTGCCAGCACGCGTTGGCAACTCTTGTCGAGGTGGTCGATCCTTTTGCCGGAGAGTCGCGTCCGGACTACAAATACTACAAGGTAATCTGCAAGCTCCTTTGCGTAGGTGTGAGAATTACGCATCTTAAAGGAACACTCATGACCAGCAAGGAAGCGGTAACCTAACGGAGCGGGAGCCTGATTGAGGTGAGAATTGAGTGATTGAGGCGGTCTGACTACGTTTTCATGGAGATGCTGAAGGCGAGTTGCCGGTTGCAGCAGGCATCTTGCGTCAGCTTCCCGATCAACACGCCTGCGACATCTTCGCTACCTGCGTGAGAGCGTATCACACGGGTTACATGTGCTTTGATGACACAGGCACTGAGTACGTCTGCCTTAGAAGAGACTTGCGCTAGACTCCGGTTGAAAGATTTCGAACTGGCCTGGGCCAATTGTCTCCCGTTCATGATTCCCGACCGTAAACCAGTCTTATCATGGTTCTTACGCAGGCGATCTTCTTGCGGCCTATCATGGAGCATATTCAGAAGCACATGGCACACGGCCACCGGATTTCGCTCCTGCCGTACAAGATCAACGTCTACGGGGAGGGAGGGTTCTTCAAGCGCCACGTGGACTCCCCCCGTAACGCGGAGAACATGATCGGGACGCTGGTGGTCTGCCTGCCGTCGGAGCATGAAGGCGGTAAGCGACTGAAAAGACCACGTCTGGCTGACGTATTTGTCCAAGATTCTGCCATTGACATAACAATATTGCGCGATGTGAAAAGTACTATCAAGAGCCTTCGGATGGGTATGTGAAGTGCATCCCCACTTCTTTGAGGCGACTGGGCCATTTGAAACGCCTCAACACTCTTCAGGACGATCTTGCCTTCACAGAGAGGAAATATGTCCAAACAAGCCTGCTCATGCGAGAATTAGATGCCACTCTCCCACGTTAGACTGGTATGTATTCTGACAAACATTCTGACAAACATCCGCTAAACCAGATCAAGAATCCGCTAAAGCAGATCTGGTTAAGTCAAGATTTCCTGTGGTCCTTTCCTCATTCGTCTCTAAACCTCCGTAAAACCTGCCCGGGCTACATTTTTCATCTCCGCAATGCAGGCGAGCTCGTGGTCTCTCATGGGGGGGTCGACCACGTGTTTGACTTTGCCCCCCTTTCCGGGGACCGGCAAACCGTCCAGTGGGCAGCTATGTACGGCGATTGTTTGCACGTGGTCAAGGAGGTCAAAAGCGGGTATCGTGCGACCCTCACATTCAGCATCATCCAGGAAGAAGCGCAGAAGGGGGGTACCTTTTGGGCCCCCAACCGATGCCATCGCTTACCGCACAATCTGCAAGAGACTGGATACAAGATCACCTACGACGATGACTCTCATCATTATCTAGAAGTGGAGGTAAGCGACAAACACCTTCTGCTCTTTTGATGCATTGAAGGGCCTTACTTTACAGTTGAGCTCCTTGAACCTCGCTGGTTTGGGGCTGCACCTTCCACCAGTCTTTCTCATGGAAATCTGGAACGACAGGAAATCACACACCGATGAGATAGTCAAAACTGCAGAGGTTTCATTGGTCGCCACGAGATCTTGAAAGACCTTGAGAGCAGACTTTAAGCAGGAAGACGAGAGGCTAAACTTGGTAACGTCGCTTTTCCAAAAGACAGACACAATTTTCACAGCTAGTTCAAAGCCTCTTTACCAAGGGAAAAAAAAGCCCATTTTGACAAGAAGCAGACTTTACTATGTTTCTTTACTCTAGCGAAACTAATCTCTAGCAAAAATAAGCTCCTGCATTAAAGCTAAAAATCTAACCCACAAAAAAACCTGCTCCGCACCCGTACCCACCCTAAACCCCCAAACTAACCCCACCCGTCCTAGGCTGGTTAGCTTACTTTTGCTGAAGCTTATCATTGCTAAATCGAAGAATCGTGACTTCAGTCTTTTAATTTCTGCAGGAGGATTTCACCGGTGGCCCCTGGAACAAGCCGGGGGCGGAACGCAAGGCTCAGGCCGTCGTCGAAGCGCTCGGGGCGCTCGACCCGGCCACCGAGTACGTCACCATCCTGCTGAGCCACGACTACACGCAGGCCAACCTGGTCCGCCCGGAGATGCTCAAAGGGACCGACTGGGAGCTTTACCAGGTTACTCCTGACTCGATGACTTGCAAGGGCATCCTTTTGCAGCGACAGAAAAATCGTGACAAGAAAGCGAAATACTGCCCGCTCCGCAGTCAAAAGCCACCCAGAAGCTTTGTAACGACTCCGGCCGTCCTAGGCAGTGGCCCTTGCAATACATACCCAAAAAATGTCAGCTTATGTCCCGTGGCTACTTGAAGGCCTCTCCACCTCAGAAGTGAAGGCACTGAAATAGGAAGTTACTGTTTTGGACTGGGTTAAATCCGGCCCTCACTTTCTGCAGTCGAACGCAATGAACGCAAGCATGGATCTTTTTCTCTACCAGGCGGTGTCTCGCGCATACCCGGTGGAAATGCTGACGGTCGTGCTCCGCGACCATTGGACTCTGCCGCACGAATGCGACGATCCGGAGAACTTCGCGGACGGAGAGGGGACGTCCGTCTGTTCTTGCTACGCGTTTTCAAAGGAGGACCTGGCGTGGCTGATGGGAGAGGGGCCCAAGCCGAAGTACAAATGGGAGGCGGCCGCGCGCGCGGAGAAGGTCCTGTTTGTGGCGCCCCGGCCAGGGCAGAAGGCTCTGCTGGACGCGAAGGAGAGCGGGTATCACGGGAACCAGTTTGACGAGGGGGGGGAGATTTTGAGTGTGTACTTTGAGGCGGCTCTGGTGGTAGATTTGAAAAAGAAAGCGGAGGGGTGGTCTCGGAGCGGCGGAAGGTTGCGGTCTTTGGCATGATCGTTTTGGTCGTAGTTGAGAGGCTTGGTTGAGCAGCCTCCTTGGATCGGTTTTGCTTCGTCCGTTTGTGCAGGCAAGCCGTACCCCGCTACAAAGAATCCTGATTTGTCTTCCTCAGCTCAACATCTTTTCCTTGTTTGGGTCTTGAAGCAAGCTACGTATGACTCTGTTGAGGGGAGGAACAGTGTGCTTTTTTCCTATTCAAATTAAGTTGCATAAGGAAGCATGCGTAACATGCTTCCAATCAGCGTTTCTTGGTGCATAGTATGCTTAATCAATGCCCGATAAATTTTCGCCTCCAATCTTCGACGATTCGACCCCTATATTCCACCATCGGGTCGTGACTACCACTCTTGCGCCAATTGCATCATATCATGAAGTTCGTATCGGTCGACGACGGTCTTACGATACTAGCCCCGCCTTAAAGAGACAAAAATCAGTTGAAGGCGAGTTCTTTGTTTCTGATAATGACTAGAGCCAAACCAGCAAAAAGGCCCAATTCTCAGTCTAAAGGAGCAGCCACTGCTCAGTGCCCCATTCCTTCGGACTGCGAGGGTTCGCCTTCTTATATGGCATCATGAAGTTGCATTGGATGTCTATGCACAGCATTCCATGCCTTACTTTTTCTGTTCCCAGATACTGCTGCAAATTCATCAGTCAGACGGCTGTTGTTTCCCATGTTTTGGAAATTGCCGGTAGCAAGGGTTTCGTTAAACGTAAGACTAGGCTTCCGAAGAGTGGTTCATCATATTCCTGTAACCTGACTATATGACTACGTCTACAGTTGAAAAGTTGAACTGTGTAACTTGGTGAACAACACATGAAGTTGTAAATCTGCTAGCAAGATATGTCTCTGGATCAGTCCTCATTTCTCTACCACGTATTCTCGTGCCTGAAACCAGCCATCCGCTTCTTCCAGTAGTCATCCTGCCACTTGGTTATCCGATAAACCTTCTCCGATTCCACTGTCGCAACCAATTGAGAGTCTTGCAAAGCCGCCGTAGACGGCAGACCCTTGATACCCTGGGCTACCGCATTTTCGTCCGTTTCAGGCGATTCCCCAGCTAGACGCTCATAGGGATCGGTCGCCGCGTCTTGGCTTGCGTGCCATAGCACCTCCGCTTGCTGCTGCAACGTCATCTCACCGGTTCTCCGGACGAATCTGGACAAGGGGCCGCGATTGAATTTCGAACATCCCTTTTATGTGTTTTGAGGCCTTCACTTGCGAGCGCTTTCTACAGAGCCCTTGAGAGCACTTCAAGAGCTGAGCACGGCGTGATACTCAATTCGTACTTGCTTAAGCTCGTTCACGCAACGAGTTGACACGGTAAAGGTTGGATTCCTTGTAGAAGGGATGGGTCATATGGGTCATATATATCATAGATTTGAAACGGAACGAACAATCTCAAGTACCTTCTAAATCTTCGCGGAAGTTAGGCGCTTTCAACCTGCCAACAACGTTTCATAGCGAATTCTGTCGTAACAAACGGCCGCCCTGAATAAAACTTGCCATCCGTCCACTCCAATGCAAGGAGACGATTCTGAGAATCCACATGGCACTCACTTGTGCAGCCGCGTCGGCACCCTCTCCCACGAACCCGCGGGCGCCACGTGTCCCGGCCACAGGTGCGACGCCCGTCGCGTGTCGTGCTCCGGCTTCCGGTCCCTATCTTCGACGGAAGCTTGCGTCAGCTGCGTCAGCGTCTCGGTGTTCGCGAGCAGGCCGGAGAAGGAACCTAAAACCCTGCGCTCCAGCTTTGCGCGATGGACCGCGCGCGCGGCCGCGTCGTCGGTGTCCGCGTCCAGGTCGGGGTCGTTGAAGCCGGCAAGCGCCGCTTTCTTCTTTCCGCTGCAGGAAAAAAAAAACAGTGTGAGCCCAGGCTGCGCGAATAACAGTCGGCCCTCCTCATGCTGATAAGCATCACTTTTGTCAGCGACCATCCTGAACGGTCAGGAATTAAAGATCAGCAAGATTGTACGGCACGACGGAATCGTACGGCACGAGGGCCCTGCTCCTCTTGCTCAAAGTTCACTCATGGAAACTCCAAACACCAATCAACCGCTGAAAAACTGCTGTTTCCAATCCTTCAGGACGACTTCCAAACCTGAGGCGCCCAAAATTTCATCCGCTCAAGCTTCAATATACGCTGTCCCCAATCGATCCAGGAAAGGATCTTTCTAGCCATTCGGCCAAGTGCCCACCCACTTGAAGCGCCAATAAGAAGGAAAATGCTCCCAGAAATTCCAAAAACTTTCAGCCCCCTCACCCGAAAGTTGAGTCAGAATGCAGAAAGTAAATATCGGGAGAAAACGCCAAATGACGAAACTCTCGGCCCCCTCACCCAAAGTTGAGCCCCAGGATGGACGCCTTGATGTCGCGCATCGTCTCGTTGGCGTCGTTCACTTTGAGCCGGTCCAGCCGCCCCTGCTTCTCTTCCGCGACCGCGCGCTCCTTTGCCGCGGCCGCCTCCAGCCGCTTCCGTTCCGCTTCCTTCTTCTCCTGCGGAAGCGAACGGAATGCCATGACCGGCTCAGACTCTGCCCTTAAAAGCTGGACACCGTCTGTTCGATCTTTTGAGCCCTCTCCAATTTCTATCAGGATTGGTCGAGGAGGAATAAAGAAAACGGCCTCTAGAGGTAATAGATCCAGTGGCTACTTGGAGCAACGAGCGATCCCGCTGAATCTGGTCGTTATGAGCTTTCCTCAGCAAGTACTCAATCTTCGCATGCCGGACAGCTGACATTTTTTCTTGAATTGGCGAGCAGTTTGTATGCATCCGCTCACTTACACCCGCCTCCGAGAACCCTCTGAGATTTTAATTCTCCCTACCTCTGTGACCAATCAGATTCTGATACGTAATCACAGGGTCAAGTCTACCGACCTCTCCGCCCTATCAATATGATCCATCGAAGTAATCAGAATCTGACATCAAGTTATAGTGTCAAGTCTACCGACCTCTTCCGCCTTCTTGATGGGCTCCATGATGATCCCCAGCCCCTCCTTGATGCCCGGGAGCTCCGTGACGGCCTTGACACCGTCCTTCACCCCCTGGCTGATCTCGTGCGTCACCTTGTTCACGCCGCGGCTGATGTCTTGCGTCACCTTCACCAACACCTCCGGAATGAACTTGGGGGAGCCTACAAAAAGCGGAACAGGGCTTGATTGAACGTAATGAGGTGAGAATGGATGTGACGCAACACTTCTGCTCAAAGCAATGCTAGGGTATTGTGCTTCCTTTGAAGGCAAAGGGTAAGTCGATAGACCCGCCAGAGGACGGCGTCTCAAAGCGCACATGACGCAACAGAAACTGCAAATCAACACTTTTGTGAAGGCTCTCAGGCGACACCAAAAACAGCTTCATCTTAAAGAATTCGACGTCAACAATTATCTCGATTAGCAAGAAGCGATAAGCGTCAAAGCAATAGCTTCTCATTTTCGCTCTGCAAATGCATCTAATCTTTCGCTCCTCTTTCACCTGCTTCTGACGGAGACGTGGGCGACTGCGCCGCCGACTCGTACACCCCGGGGCGGATCTCCCGACCCCTCGTCTGCGGCGACAGTCCCCCCCCGTTTTGCCCGGTAGCATTCGCCGGGACCTCCAGGGGCGTCACTTTCTTCACCTTAAACTTGGTCGCCTTTTTCAGCCCGTGCAAGTCTTCCTCCCGCTTCAGCTTCTTCTCCAACTGGAGACCCATTTCTAAACCGAGGCCTAGAACCGGGCCCAGAACCGGGACGTTCGACTTCAGCTTCGCCTGCGCGGTCCGGATCTTGTCCTCGGTGGTTTTTGCGCGGGGCTTGGGGACTTCGATGGTCTGCCGGCCGAAGCCCTCGATGCGGCTCTTCACTAGAGAGGCACTCGCTTCGGCTCCTACGAAAAGGAGGGGGCAAAGATCAAAGACGAGTCTTTCTTGCAGAATTCCGCTACCATGTTTCATGCTGTCCAGACTGTGGAGAGTAATTGCTACCGTCTGTGTCCTCCCAGCGATTGCTGCACAGGCTCAAACTTGGCAATCAGTTTCGTCGGACAAATCAGAGAAGCAAGTGCAAGTGATCTAAACAACCACGTTTAGGAGCAATCCAACTCCGTGATCAGCCTCGTCGTTAAGAGTTATGCCTCAGCCTCTCCCGTCGAGCTCGACGCTTTTGCAACATCGACCACCCATCCGTTTCTCGCAGCACTTCAGCAGCCTCCAAACTTTCGAACGCCGAAAAGGATATTCAACGGACTGCCCAAAGCGTGAAAGCTAATCATTTCCAAAGAGTGAACTGCTCACCACTCGACGCCGAGAAGCTCCGCGCCCGCAGCGTCCGCGCCGCGTCTTCAGACGCTCTTCCGGCGGCCTCCGTCACGCCGGAATCGCTCCCCGTCACGCTCGGCCGCTCCTTTGCATCCCCGGCGGCGGGCTCGCCGCTGACGTCAGCACTCGCGATGATGCCGGCGATGACGTCAGCAGCCGCTTCCGCCGCCCCCGGCTCCGTCGTGGGTGCGACAGCGGCCGCTTCGGTCGCGTTTTCAGCGTCACCTTCTAGGGGTTCCGTCGTGTGGGTTTCGGCCTGAGAAACCTGTAGAGGACTCTCGGATGTACCATGGGCTTTCCCGTCGGAAGCGGTCGCCTCAGGAAGCTCAGCCGCAACGCTCCCAGCCGCGACTTCGCCGTTTACCGGAGCCGGAGCGCTTTCCGCTGGATTGGAGACCGATTCCGCCGGAACGTCGGCAGCGGCCGTGGTTTCTTCCGTTTGCGAGGCTCCTTCCACTTTCCAGGCTCCAGTGGACCCTTCCCCGTTCGCCACATCCGCCGTGTCCGCTTCCGCCCGCTCCGCTTCCGTCCGCTCCGTTTCCGTCTGCTCGGTGTTCCGTTCTTCCGGCCAAGCCTCCTTCGGCCGGACTTCTTCCTCCCCGTCCGAATACTTCTCGCCGTCCACAATCTTTTCAGAGGCGTCCGAATCGGACTCCAGGTCGATGTCGCTGACGCTCAGCGTGCGCTCCGCGGCCGCGCCGCCCGAAACCCTCGCAAAACCCTGCGAGCTCAAACCCTTTTGCGCTGCCCAAAGCTCGTCCCCGCTGCGCCGCTTGGACTCGACACCCGCGATCGGCACAAGGCCCCGCCCCAGAATGACCGCTTTCTTCGTTCCGTTCCGCTCTCCGGCCGTTCCGTTCCGCTCCTCTGCGACCTTGGCCTTCCACGCCAGCCCGGGGGGCGGTTTGAGGCCCATTTTCTTGCCCCCCTTCAAGCTCGCCCCAAGTTTCTCCTTCTCACCGCTCTCCGTTCTGCGCAACCGGCGCAAGCTGCCGGTGCGTTTCATCCGTTCCTCGCCGTCAATCGGGCTTGTATCAACGGATCCCTTCGTCCTGCGCCTGCCACGTGTCGCCTCCTCAGCTTCCCGTCGAGCCCCGCTCTTTGACGCCCCTCTCTGCGAGCTCAAGCTGCTTGTCTTTCTCTGCGGTTCCGGGCTCTTCTCCTCCCTCTTTGCCAGCTTTTCGAAGCTCTCTTTGGCGGCGGCCACGGACATGGAAAACTGCAGAAAGCGGTCGCCCCCGATCTCCAGGTCTTTCCCCACACTCAGCAATTCCGGCGCCTCGTTTTCCGTTTCCGATCCGGTCTTCTCGACCCCAGCCCCGTCTTTTGAACCGCGTCTCGCTTCCGTTCCCCACGCCTCCTTCAACCTGCTCGCAGCAATCTCTCTTTGCTCTTCGACTTCCGCTTTCCGCCGTGCTTCCGTTTCCGCTTCCCTCTTCTCGTCAATCTCACCCTCGGCTGACTTCCCGTCCCTCTCTTTGCTGATACCAGTCTCTGCCTCTTGAGCGTGATTGGGTGTATCCGTGGCAGCCTTGTCTTGCACAGCGGATTCCGGTCCACCGGAAACGGAGGACGGAACGGACGGCTCGTCATTCGCAGCTGATCCGGCGTTCTCAGTTGCATCAGGCGTCGGCTTTCCGTCAGATTCCGTTGTCGTTTCGCTCGCGACCGGCTTCGAATTCTCCTCCATTTCCACTCCAGTTGACACCACAGCGGGCTCCACCGCCGTCGCGTCGTGGGCCATCACTCCTGGTGTCAAAGCCTTGCTTTCCGGCTCAGCCTTCTTCTCGTTTCCAGTCGGTGTAATCAAACCCGCACTGCTATCGCTAAGCTTCTCCTTTAGGCGACCGCTTCCTTTCCGAGACAGCTGCCCCGACGCGCCGCCACGTGTCTCCCCGCCGTTGGCCGGCTTCGCGCCCGCGGCCGCGCGCTTCGCCTGCTTCTGCAGGTGCTTGATCATCTTCTGGTCCCTTTCGGTGTCCTTTCCGCCGCCCCGGCCGGAACTCCCAGCGGAAGACACCGGATTTCCACCGGGGTGTTTCCAGACTGACTTGGGGCTTCCGTTCGCTTTTGGGCTCCCCCGGGACTTCGGTGAATTTTCGGCGCCTTTCGGTGTGCTCTGGGGGGACGATCCGCCGACTGAAAGGGGTTTCAGAGAGCCCCCCGGCTTCAATTCCGCCGTCTGGTTTGCCGCTGCCGGAATCGCCGGAGCTTCCTCCTTTCCAGACGCTAGTCCTCCCTCAGTCGCTTCGCCTGCAGGGCTTGTCTTTTCTTCTGAAGGAGGCCCCACGACTGCCGACGTCACTCCTAGCGAAGCTTCCTTGTTGGAAGCTCCGTTCAAGTCCGTCCCGTCCGGTCCCTTTTCCGTTGTTACCGCCTCCTGGGCTGCACTTCCGGCCGTTCCCATCACCATCTCGCCGAACTCCGGTGTCAAATCTGCAGCCAATACCGTCTCGCCACGTAGTACATCATCTGAGATCTTAGCAGAGTAAGCGGACGCCCCGCCATTCGCTCCTGAAACGCCGGCTGTTTCCGCTGCCACCAGTCCGATCTCGTCCACGTAACACTCATCAAGCGCTCCCTGTGCCGGGCCCCTGGCTGCTTCCTTCTGTTCCGTTCCGCTCGTCTTTGGGTCACGGGCGGAACCCGCCCCGCCCGAAACCGTCTCAGGGGCCTCCAAGCGAGCCCTGTCTGCGTCCTCTTGCACCGACGTTTGCTCGGATTCTTCTCCCGCAATTTGCTTCCCCGTTCCGTTCTCCCCGTTCAATCTGTCAACGAAATCCGTTTCCGTTCGTCCCTCTGACCCATTTCCAATCGCAATCTCTATCATAGAAAGATGCTCTTCGGACGCCTCACCAACCTCGGATCGGGGCCCCGCCAAACCTTGCGAAGCGATCTTGTTGTCTAGAAGCGTCGGAGCCTGAGGAGCGGTTTCGTCCGCCAGAGGCGCCAGAACCTCCAAACCCTGAGCCGGCCGCGTCTCGTCGTCACGGCCGAGCCGCGCCAAGTCCTTAAACCCTTGCTCGCCTAGCCAGTGGATGATCCCCCGCGCCGTGGTACCCGACTGGATGCCGCCCTTCTTCGGCTTGGCGGCGACTTTTTTACCCCTGGAAGCGAGGAGCAGGTCGCCATCAGACTCAGCTTTCGCGTTCAATTCAAGGCCGATTCAGCAAATCAAGGTGAGGGAAATTCTGCAAGCTTTTTGATTGGTTATACTTGAGAGTTACGAGAACGAAAGTAGATGAGAGCGCACTGGGCCGGACCCCAGGATTGCATCAAATCTCCCACGCTATTACAAACGTCGAACATTCGACGTCGACTGCTCTAGAACGCTCCCATCAAAGTACTCGATCCTATTTTCCCTTCAAAGCACGCCACTCTTTGTAAAGGACCTTATGTAAATATCTTCTGAGCTCGTAACCATGTCTCAAACAACATGGCCGTGGGCCTGACTGCGCTTCTTCCCAGAGCCTCGTCGAATCAGGAAGCAGGTCAACTCCGATCTCAGATACCTAATTTATGTTGCGAACTCGCCGATGAAGAGCCGTCAGGCATTTGCAACTCACTTGGGCGATGAGGCGTCTCCTCCCTCGGTGGGCCCACACACTAGGAACAGGAAACGGCCTTTGTCGTCGAAAGCAGCAGACCCGGGCGCCCAGGTCTCGCTGTTCGACGCGAACTTAAGGAACGGACCGTCCACCGACTTGATCTTCCCCTGCCCCGTCACGACCGCCAGGTGGTCGCCTTCCAGGTCTGCCACGTCAGCAGGCCGCCCAATGACGTGGATGAGGCTGCAGATAGAAGCAGGGAAGCCAATCAGTTGCGAGAATGAGCTATCTGAGCCAAAACGCGTGCGGCTGAACACTCAGGAGTGCACGACGTATGTTATCAGGACTTTTCGCTGTGGGGCATCTCAACGTCGTTCCCGGTAGAAAGATGTGGATATTTAGCTGTGGACATCCCCATGTCGTTTCCAGCGGAAAGATTGGGATGACTCTCTCAAGATAGATGTCCATTCTGGAGTGCAGCACACATAAGAGTTTTTGTGCTGCAGCTTTTTGTGAAGCGCTGTTTTGTTAACTTGGAAAGCTCAGTAGTTGACAAGCTTACATCCCTTTTGGTGCTTTCATGACAAAAGCATCTTTACAGTTGCTATGGAAACTTGGTTGTAAATATCCATGGCTGGCTCAGAGACATGTTGAAAGAGCTCTTCATCAAGGAGGACTTGAGCATCCGCTGTCAGTATTCCTTGCAAAGAAGACTTGGGAACAAACACAGCATTGCTGCAGAATGAACCCGCAGCAAGGAAAGAACTGAGACACCTTTCTCTAGGATTCTTGACTCAGGCATTCCCATTCCTGGAAGAGTTTTCTGGGTGGATTTTAGCGTCAACGAAATGAAGCGCCAGCTAAAGCTCGTCCAGAAAAAGTGGAGTCTCCACCATTTTACAAAACAAACCCTTCAACAAAGTTGTATGCCTTAGCCTTGACATGGCAGGCTTCCCAAAGCAAAGCAAGTTTGTTGCAATGTAAGTGCAAAGATGCTTGTATCACACCTAAGTCAGCATCCACTCCACAAAATCGGAGGGTCATGTTCAACAATGGTCAGAAAAGTACTTACCTCCCAGTAACAACATCTGCCTCTGGAATCTCCAACGCCTCCTCCAGTGCAACCGGTGTCACTCCCGACAACCCCGCTGCGCTCTCGCAGGCCAAGATCGTGACGTCATACTCGGGGTCTGTCACAAACAGCCGTTCTGGCAACAGGCGCCTCCGTTCTAAGTACTCCTTCCCTCCCGCCCCGCTTGACACTACCACCTGGACCTCGCCCCTGGCTGCCTGCTCCTTGCTGGAAACGGTGTCATGGCTTGTGAGGACCAGGTTCGGACCGATCAGGACGCCCGTGCCGCCGTCGGACGCCTTTTGGTGAATGCCACGTGGCACATTGGACCCAGCGGATAATTGCAAAGAGACTAGGCAGCCTTGCTTTGCATTGAGGGCACTCTTTGATGACGTCACTGGGGAGGAAGATGACTCCAGCGGCGCGGTCTTGGCGGCCCCCTTGGGGGCGAGGCAGCACTTGAAGAGCGCCATCTGCGCTGCTGTCTCTCGTCCTCACTATGTTTGCGCAGGGATGATGTCACATGCAGACCTCAGAAGAGACGCCATGCAGACTTGCTTCCTAAAAGAAAGAAAAGAACAGTGCTATATTGTATAGTTAAGAGAGGCTTTGCTGTTGTTTGGAGGCTTGCGTGCCAAAAACCCTTCGTGTTCAGTCACATGAGAACAGAGCTTGGCCAACAAGGCCAAGGGCCTCTCCTTCCTAAATGATTCTCGATCCTAAGGTGCAGAATGCTGTTCCGTTTCGCACACAATCACCCTCCTCTCTTGGGTCTCCTTGATGCTGCAATGCTGATCAGTGAGATTTAGCAATCAGGTAATGTAATCAGGCTAAAATGGAGGCCTGAACAGCAGACACAGAGCACCGATGGCAGTATTGCCCCATTGCAGCATTGTCTCTGATCTTGCTGGAAATCTGCTTTGCGCACATGCATGCAGCATTGCAGACAAAATGTTGGATATATGTTTGGAGCTAGCTACTGTGAAGAATTCGAATAGACAGTACAGATTGGACTGAAGCCACAGTACAAACTTCTATCTCACTTTTACGCGGAGTGTTTGAGCTACATGTGTAGGATTGGCATCAACGCTCGACTCCGCACCTGTATTTCACAGATGCTGGCCAGAGATCGAGTCCGTACTTGGACAACAGGCGCACCTATCTGCGTACCGCAACGAATCTGAATTCCGGTATGTACGTCTAGGTAGCGATCAAAACAAGTACAAGAGATCTTTCGCGCGGTATTCTCAGACATGAAGCTGCGCGCGCACAACAGGGCGCACCTGACTACCGTCGATCGGGGATCTCGTCTGTCGTTTTACCGTAGATCGAACCCCAGTCGTTGGAGGGGTATGATCCAAGTGCGGTACATCTAGCAAGCATTGGCATGACCAGAATGCTCGGCGACAGACCGCCCGACTTTCCTACGTCCACCGTCGCCTTCACAGTTATTTCCAGCAGCAAAGTATGGTGATATTTACAATCCGACCGTTTTACCGGTACGGAGAGGGTCTGTGTCAATGGTTCACATCCTATGCTCCTACAGACCCAACCACGCCCGGGCAGAGAGTACCGCTTCGGAAATAGCGTGGTACGGTATACTCTTACTTATAAATTCACCATAGAGTTAGTATCTGACCTAGTGCTGTACTCATAAGGGCTTGATCTCCTTGATAAGTCTGACAACGATTTCGCACTGACGAATATTTTAGATAGGAAATCCAGCGGCACAAAGTCTTACAAAATTCGGGCAACAGATTGCCATCTAATATTCAGAGAGCACAGTTCAATAAGAAGCTTGTCGAGGGCTTCTTATGCATAAGAGTTTCACCCCAACCCGGTCGTGCCCGGGAGTAATAAGGGGTAGCCCCGGGAGGTCTGCAGAGGGGATCTAGGACAGCCGGTGAAGGTGGCCGGTTCCCTTATGCAGTTACCGAAGCGGTTCTCGGTACGGTATTGTTTAGATGTCCCAGCCTTTCCAAGGCAGCGCAATTCAGCCTTTTTAATTTCACAGGGGCTTGCTAGCCAAAAGAGAAGCCTCAAAATAACCGTCGGCCTGACTGGATTTGGTCAATGGATGTCAAAGGGGTGCGCCATTGTCATTGGCTCGGTTCACGTGCCCCGGTCCAAGATCGTCGATCGGAACACGCGTACAGCTGCATGTCGGTGCTTGGCGAGAAGCGATCCCGTCGCGCGCCCTCGAGAACCCTTTCCAACCAATTCTCTGCCGAAAAGAGCATAGGACTACCGCAAGCAGCTAGAGGCGTATACGCCGATTCTATGACTAATCAGGGCACTTATACTACCGTACGTTCTTAAAATTTCAGGTTCTTTATAGGCAACGCTACGGCAACTTCTACCACGATTCTACATTGAAGAATGTCTATATGACTACACTGGAGCCGTTAAAAACCCCTCCGAGGTCCCTTGGCTTTTAACTTGGGCCCGCCTTTTGTGGAGGGGAAAAGGTACTCCAGCGTGCTTCAGTGTATAACCGTGTTGAAGTCCCGTGCGTGCCTCCGTGTCCTGCGAGAGAAAAGTATTGCTCCCCTCAAACCAGCTCAAAAGGTGGCCGCATTGGCTGGCGTACTTCTTGTCTATCCTAGCACTTTTTTGCCCGCTACTTGCTGCTGGGACGAAAACCTTTTTGTAAGAAAGAGGTGCCTTTTGCGCCATCATGGCGCACAGGCTTGTTTGCACGCTGGAGGTGTCAGGCATTCTCTCTGGAGCTGACATCGAGCAGCGGCAAGGGCTGCGCTGTCGGTTTGTGAACACTTCTGGGAGTGCCTATGACGTGGATGCAAGTTACACGGAAGATGGATGCAGTGCGCAGTGTGCAGTGGAGACAGAGGTAAGCAAGCAGAAGCTGAGTGGTCTGCATACCTCATCTTGTTATCGCAAATATCCACCCCAACCGTCATGCAAGCTCCATAAAGCCTGCCGTCCGCTATAGGTGAAGCGCAGAAGAATATGCGCGAGAGGTTATAAGCAGAACAAGCGGAGGCGGTACCACATTCCTTTTCCGACATTCACCAACAGGTGAAATGCGTAAGCTGTCCCTGACTGGGTGGTACAAGTCTGACACTCCAACAGGTGGACTGTGTGCTATTCGTGTGAGGCATATGCTTTTGTGCGTTCAATTTGACTTTGTCATCAAGGTGATAGTCTCTTAGCCAGGTGCCCCGGGGCTTTCTTGTAGAGACGTAGAGACGGAGTCTTGTTCTGAGAATACCATAATGAAAGTCACCAGAGGTTCACTATCGCCACACTAATGTCACCAGTAAGTTGGATGATTGCGCTAGGGGCTCTGTTTGACAGGTCAAGCATTTCTTCTCAAGACCACAACAAAAACAACTTATCTACACGTCGGCGGTTTCAGATGCAAGTAAGACATGTTCTTCCAGTACATACAGAGCAACTTCATCAATGTTTGTAAACACTCTGGTCAATTGTCTTCTGCGCAGATAGGCACAGTTTCCACAGGGCAACTCCTTCACTGAGCATCGCAATACCCAATGAAATCCAGCACCAGGAGTCCCAATTGATCCTTGTGAACGAAGATCGATCTTGTCCTTACAGGACTGCGATTCCAAAGCGTTTGTACTGCTTGACAACCAGGACGAGCCAATCCCATGCAAGTCAGCACCTGTTCCCACCGGAACGTTTGAAACCGAACCTGTCGGGCAGGAGGCTTCAGCTTCAAGCCCCGCCAACTTCAGATGTGAGTTGTTCAAACTTGTCATTGAATCTCTTGTAAGAAAGTCAAGAGCTGAGATTCTAAAAGAGAGTTCCTTGGAGGAACATTTTTCAGGTTATCAGTAATCAGGTGCAGCTTCTGGGGAGCCTGGCAGAAAAGATTCTGAGAGTAACTGTGAGGTTCCTTCTCGTTATGACACTGGCCCGCACTGCTTCCTGCTTGACACACCCTGAATTACTCCTGGTACCATTCTAATTAGTCACAAATGCTAGTGTAAAACAGTCAAGCATTCGATTGTCTCCACTTGCAGCTGTGGTTGGAGCGCTCGGGTGGTTGGACCGCTACCTCTTCGTGTGGATCATCATTGTTATGGTACTCGGCGTCGTTGCGGGGAACTACATCCCCGGCATCGAGACCGGGTTCAACGGCTCCAAGATCGACTCGGTGTCCCTCCCCATCGCCATCGGCCTCTGGTGGATGATGTACCCCGTCTTATGCAAAGTCCGCTACGAGCTTCTCGGCAAGCAGTTGCTGGAACCCGACCTCCGAAACCAGCTTGCCATCTCCTTCGTGCTTAACTGGCTCATCGGGCCCGCGCTCATGACTGGGATCGCATGGGCCACTCTGCCAGACCTTTCGGGTTACAGAAACGGGGTTATCCTGGTTGGCTGCGCGCGGTGCATCGCGATGGTGCTGATCTGGAACCAGCTCGCGTGCGGGGACACCGACTTTTGCGCCATCCTAGTTGCCTTCAACTCCATCCTGCAAATAGTGCTGTACGCCCCCGCTGTGCTCTTCTTCCTCAACGTCGTCTCGGGGGGCTCGGTCAGCGTCAGCTTCAGCACCGTAGCCAAGAGCGTCGCGCTCTTCCTGGGACTTCCCCTCGCCGCGGGCTTTCTGACGCGCCTCGTGCTGCGCAAGTGGAGGGGAGCGCAGTGGTACGACCGGAAGTTTCTGCCCTGGTTCGGGCCAACGGCGCTGATTGGGCTTTTGTACACCATCTTTGTCATGTTTGCACTGCAAGGCAAGCAGATCGTGCACAACCTGGGTGACGTGGCACGCGTGGCGGTGCCTCTCCTCGTTTACTTCGCCATCACGTTCTGGGGCACGCTGGCCGTCTGCTGCGCTCTCAAGATCTCCTATCCGAAGAGCATCACCCAAACGTTTACCGCGTCAAGCAACAACTTTGAGCTGGCAATCGCTGTGGCAGTGGCAAGCTTTGGGATCAACTCCGAGGAGGCACTTGCGGCGGTTGTTGGCCCGTTGATCGAGGTGCCGGTCCTTCTGGGCCTTGTATATGTAGCGCTTGGCCTGAAGAACAGGCTCTGGTAAGGTTGCGCTTTGAGGTGCAGTCAGGCATTAGGACTGCTATACAGTGATTGAGTTGTCATGTTGTTTGAGTCAAGTACCGTCGTGAATCAACGGTTCGGTAGAGTTGGCAAGCATCTCTACCTCAGAGGTCAGAACAGTCGCGTCAGTCAAGGTAGGAATCGAAGTCAAAGAGCTTATGGACAGTCAGACTTTTTCATGGCATCAACTTGTGAAGACATCAGGGTGGCCGTGCAAAGTCTCGGTCGGGATGACCGGCCAGACGTGACCTAGCTAGCTGCTGTCCGACGACCGTCATCGAATGGCCATGCATCCACGTGTCAGGCTTAATCAACAGATAATTACGTTATTCGTTTCCTACAATGCACTGCCAGAACGTCATTCTCAGTCTTTCCATGAGATGCTGTATACAAAACATGTGGTCCAATGTGATGGTGTCTACACCATACCGCGTCAGCGAGTCAATATATGCGTATACATGGCATCATGCAACCGGGAGCACAATTTGGCGGCCATGGCACTATATGACAGTGCAGCTGCATATACCCTGGTGTGCGCAGTACTGCATTTGCACCATGGTTGCATCATTGCGCGCAGCCATTGCAACCTATTGTCGCGCTCGCCCCTCATGCCACCTCAATGTATTCGCATCGAGGACTACGCCACTGCAATCACTTCGAACGCATCATGCAGCCTCATCGAATGATGGGTAGGCGACTGGAGTGGCAAAATGCACTTGATCACCGTGGTTGACTGACCGTGACAAGCCTGGATGAACTCTGCATTCAATCTGATCTTGCATAATAGATCCAATGCAACTCCATTGCAGATTGGATACTGCAAAATAGTGCAGAGTCTCCTGTTTTCACTTGATTAATTAAGTCAACCAACGTCACCGCCCAGCATCTTCCTCCTCGCTCTCCTCGTCGGCTTCAAAGATCGGAAACGCTTCCTCGGAATCTAGCTCAGCCTGGGCGTTGCCACGTGGCAGGGCCTCGCCGGCCCGCACCTCCTCTGGAAACCTCCCGAGAAGCGCATGCATGTAACCCTGTGGCATTTTCTGCACGGCGGGCAACGGTGACTGTAACGGCAACGTTCCGGACACCTCCCCCCTTCGCCGGTCCAACGTGGCCGCCGGCCCTTTCTCCTCGCTGACGTCACTCCCGTACTCGTTCTCTTCATCGTCCTCGTCCTCGCTGACGTCATCATCATCTTCTTCCTCCTCCTCCTCCTCTTCCTCCTCGTCGTCCTCCTCCTCTTCGGCGCTAACGCCCCCCTCCTCCTCTTCGCTACTGCTGCTGACGTCATCCTCCTCGTCCTGGGATCCCGCCCCGCCTTCCTCTACCCCCTCTTCACGACTCGTTGCCGCTGCGTGATTGTTTCCCTGCTCTTTCTCGGTACCGGCTACATCCCCCCCCTCCCCTTCCACCTCCCCGCGTTCTTCGCTCCGTTCCTTCACCCCCTCCTCCTCTGAATCCCCCTGCTCCCTCACCCCCCCAGAAGAATCAATACCAGCTTCCGCCCCCAGTCTCGTCTGACTGGCTTCCGGACGTTTCCGTTTCACCCCCCCCCCCCGCTCCGCGCCGCTTCCAGGTCCCATATGCTGCGGCCATGGCCGCCCACGCCAGCGGGCGTCGCCAGGTCCCGCCACGGGTTCCCCTCCGGTAGGAACCGCCGGTACCGCTCCTTCATCAGCCGCCGCACCTCCGACAGCGCTGCTGACGTGTACCAGCCGGAGGTGCTCTGAGAACAAGACAAGAGCGAATGACGTCAGCACGACGTGAAAAGAAGAGCGACACGAGTAAACGCGAGGTTTCTGGTGTAGGAAGACGTGAGGGGGCGAAATGGAATTTTGGAAGCAACGAGACAAAAGGTGAAAAGAAGGACCAGAGAAGTCGGTGGGGAGACAATGAAAGCTGGTGACATTTGTAACGCCGAGCTCGTCCGTAACGGTCGTTTTCTATACAAACCCCTGCAAATCGCAACGAGGTTCCGTCCGAACTAGCATCAAGAGTCGAGCAGGAGCTATCTCACCTGAGAAGCAGGTTCGAGATTGTCTCCAATATTCGTGACAAATGCTTCTCTCCTGCTGGGCCCATGTCTACAATCAGCCGGAGTTTCAAAGAGGGCGCAAAGACAGTTTGTAGCCTCAGTCTTGAAAAATGTTGACGACCGGCTGAAGCAAAAGTAAGTGTCGGCTCGCACGACCGAACAAGACCGTATGCGACGAGAGCGCCAACGAAACTCACGTACATTCCACCTCCTTGCAGATCCCATCGGCGTGGTCCCAATTCAACCGAGACTGTAGCAGCATGCTGCCAGGCTCAACTTTACGTCTTTAAGCTCGATTCGTGGAACCTTTCACCCATCCACGTTTACCTACGTAAACCGCTCTGTCTATGATTCCCTGACCTCACTGAACCCTTAACCAAATTGGCTGCGGCCCGTTACAAACTGGCGCACACTCGTCTCCCGCCAGTAAATACTACTCCGGCCCATCTTTGCTTTAGATTCGATCCACCGCACTCACATCGCATGCGGCGGGCACTGGCTGCTTCGCCAGATGACGTTGGATGTCGTCATCCTCCAGGTCGCACAGCTGGAAGAAGGTGGAGCGCTGCACGGGCGCGCGCTCAAAGCGCTGCGTGGCCCGCCAGGTCGCCACGGCCTCCTCCGTTTCCCCCCCCCACCGCGGGCTGTTGAGCATGCCCCCCCAGGGGCGCATCAGCGACGACTGGAAGAAGGCCTCGTGGCCCTTTGGCATCGCGTCGTACCACGCACGAGGGACGCGGAAGTCGAGCAGCTGATATCTGCGAACCGGTGATAACATCCACGAATAATTATCCCAAAAATAGTAGGATTGCCAGCCTGGGACGGGTAGGATCAGTTTGGAGGTCAGGGTAATTTACGGGTGCGGAGCGGCTTGAAAATTAATGGTTAGAGCTTAAGTATTAAGTTCCCGTCTTACTACTTTAAAGAGGGCGTTGGGGGACCGCTCCCCCCTCCAGCGACCAGATAGCGCCGCATGGCGCAGTCTTGGTCGCCGAGGGCAGTTTTCAAGATGGAATGTGCGCCGTGGGATGAAATTTTCCCTCAGGACTCAGATGCACGAGTGTGCCTTGAAATTTGACGCCCTCTTTAAGGCTTTTAGTCCTGATATCATGGCTTCCTGTGGGGGGAGGTTTCAGGTTTCCAGAGTTAGAAGGTTTGAGCGGTAGCATTTCGACGATGACCTGTGGTCGCAAGCGGCGGCTGGGAGGGGATTCATTTGAGCCAACACGGACGTAGTGACGAAGCAGGTAGAATCTTCATGACAGAATCCGCATTCGCGCTGTCTGTTGGAGCCGGGAGATGCTCCAGCCCGGCTCCTATGCAGAGTAGTGAATCAATTGACGATTCCCATTCAAGATCAGGACGAGCGGTGCCGAACATTTGTCGAATCAAAAGAGCGAACATTCTACCCTGCGGTGAGCTTCCAGAGCTGATTTTTCTGGAAGAAAGACACACCATCCGTTTCAAGTTCGTCCTTTCAAGCAACTTGACACTCACTTCCTTAGCGACGGATCTGTCCGCGGGTCGGCCCCCTTCTTGACCCACAGCAGCCGCCACGGCCCGTTGTGGAACGTGTACGCAAGCTTGAGAAGCATCGGACGGACCAGGTGCGTCCACGTGGCATCCACGCAGCTCTGGATCATCGCACGGCTCCAGATCGGACGCTCGTCGAAGAGGCTCCGCAGCAGGGGCATCCCGTGCTCCCATAAACCTTTTTCGGACTCGGCAAGACTGTCCGGGGGGCCGAAGTCGGATTCGGACGGTTCGGGAGGGAGCTGCGGAAACAAGGAAAAGATCGTAGATTGTAACTTTGGAGGGCCTTAGTTTTAAGTAAGCGGATGCTTCTAAGGTCTGACAGTAGCGGGGTGTGCACTCATGAAGATGCGAGTGTCAAAGCACTCAATCGGATTCGGTGAGGCTCTGTGGGGGTCCGAAGTCTGATACAGACGGTTCGAGAGCGAGCTGGCGAAGGGACAAAATGGTCGGCAGAGTGGACACTGATAAGCTTGAGCAGTTCCTACGCGACTGTTCCAGGCTTTGACACTACGACGCACCTTGCTCGCGTAAGGGTACAAGTGTCGAGATGAAAGTGAGAAAGCGGCCGGCCTCTTGAAAAATCGGAGTCCGATCCTGACGGCCAGTTCCGAGGGGGAAACCGGAGTAACGGAGAGCACAACTCGACGATTCAACTCAAATAGGTTGGGATCCTGTAGTTCAGTGTCTTTTGAATCCCCATCTCGATGGTCGGAGGTAACATGTTAAGGAGAGGCTGGGAAGGACCACAATAGAGTACTCAAAATATGACAGACAGTAGGAACTGACCAGTGTTGAAGCGCTTGAGGACATGATTTGCATGGCTTCAAAGAATCTCATAGAGGTCATTCGTTTCTTCAGGCAGGCAAAAGAGGGATTCAACGACCGACGCAAAAATCGGCGGAGGCTGTGCTTTACCGATCAGTCTCCTTGCTTACGTCTCTGAGCTGCTAGTCAATGTCAATTCGGTGTTTGAGTAACATGTCCCGACTGCTCCATGATGGAATTTTAGCCTTTCAATTCATGTACATTTGAGGCGGAACAGACTCTTTCTTGATGCCCGTGAAAGACTACATCTTTGTTCTGGAAGTTTTCAAGGAAGACCAGGGACAAACCAAGTAATAGGAGGCTCATACCACTTCTTTGACAGGCAGAGTGTTCAGTGTTCTTCAAGCAGTATAAGCGGAGCGGATTCCGGCATGACTGAAAAGGCTCAATTCGTTTCTTCACCTGGCCTTCCCTGAAGTCAATCCCAAAGTCGAGGCCGAAAGAGCCCGTGGCAGGACCAGTCGCATGGCCCTCTTCTCCATTCTCCATCCGCAATGCTTCTGGGTCGGTCATTTTGTTGACAAAGAAGTACTCCTGCATGATGAAAGAAAGTTGAGCTGCAATATTCCAAGAACGCTTTCAAAGGTATTCAGAGTGTATCTTTTTAGAGAGTGCTGGTGCAGGATCTTGTCGACTTTTGGGGAACGAATTGGTAGTTGGCTTGTGATGACTCTGACAAGATGAGAGATCTGCTGGCATGCCTTGCCGGGTTTGGCTGAGTTGGAAACATGGAATTACGCTTCCAAATCTCCGACTTTCTTGTCAACCGCCAAATGGACTTCGTGCGATAAGGTCAGAGGAGCTCTGAAATGTTTGATTTAGCTGATATAGAGGGGGGTCCCAACGGGCATACTAAAGGCTAGTTCACCGCAAGTGACGTAAGTCGCAAGGCATCAAGATCTAGAAGAAAAATGAGAACCAAGTGAGCAAAATTTGCACACCGCCCCACCGCTTGTAGAATTGGAAAACTATGAGATCACTGCTGAATCATTGACTGGGATCGGGGCAACAACATCAACTTAAACTCATATCTGGCAAATTACTTTTTCCGTGGCAAACTGCCTGAACATGCGAAGATACGCTCCCCACCTGAGGAAACCTGACCCTGGAAAAGCGGGGAGGAATCAATCTGCTGGCTTCTCTCCCCGGCTTTGAGCTGGGGGTAAAGACAAAGTCAGCCAACTCCCCCTCTTGAAGTTCTTCCATACTAATTGCTACACTGCTAAAAGTTTTCCGGATGCAACAGTGCCCACACTTGAGCTTCAATGTGAGTGCAGTGAGATGAAATTCCGGGGTGAGTCAAGCTTCGCTTGAACAGCCAGTTGCCCCTCTCTGGAAGCTCATGTCGTGTAAGCTGATACTTGCAACTTTGTTGGGAGCATAGCTTAGCCCTGCATCACAAGATCAGATGCTAGATTCATGAGGAATTCTCTAGCTGCTAGAAATTGCTGAGTAGCAGCAGGCACATGCCATCGCAGGACTGATGCACCATACCACCAACAGTTGCTTTTGCGGTTTGTGCACACTGGTAGCAATGCTGCTTCATCCTCAACTGAGAGTTAGAAACAATCTGACGTCTTTGAGCTTGCTGGAATGCTTGATTGATAAACTGCCAAGGGGCTTGGCGTCGCACTCGCCACCAGCAAATGTGTTGCTGGCGAAAGGATGATTGTCGAAATGCTGGCAGATGGACCTTTGCTCTCGTGATGTGGGCAAAGGGATGCGCTTTTGACTGCTGGCAGACCACAACATTTTGAAACTCGAGACAGCTCAATCAGCAGCCAGCTCATCCTTGCGTTACTTTAATTTTAACCACACCTGGTTCGAAGCCCGTTACAGGAACCTGAAGGTATCATTTCTACATGCAGAGTACGCATTTGAAACCGCTGAAAATTCAAGGAGAAAGCGGCCTGTGCATAAGAGGAGTCCTGGGCTTTGCAACACGCGCTTGCCCGTCCAGCCCGCTCTGCACGCTAAGTTCCTCTCCATGCAGAATGCGAAGGCGCTTGCCAATTGCAAATTGCAATGCTCTGAGGGGTCCCTTCATTTGAATCTGATAGCTCTTCTGTAGCTCATCTGTCAGCTCAAGAGCAAGCATAAACATGGTCAGCATTGCGCAATTGTCCATGCCCATGGCGCCTAGTGACTTGCGTCGCTTGGCAGGCCGTCCCTGTTGCAAACTAGCCAGTGCCCAGCAGTTGGGATCAACTAAGAGTATAGATGCTTGGATCAAAGAAGTGCACAGGTTGCAGCCTGGTCTTATGAGGAAGTATAGACATTTGTCACAGGAGGTTACAACCAACTTATGTAATGTGATGTCTGTATGCCACAAAAGCGCTAGATTGCTCTGTTGTGCATCCAGCACAAGAAAGGAATCCCTTAGTAGCCTGCCAGCCACAACACTGGGCGAGAACAGATCTCGAATGAAAACCACACGCTCATGCCCTATCAAAGCTAGCAATCAAGAGGAGTCTTCAGGTAGCTCAGATCAGTCTCCAGAGCCCGCTTTCAGAGTCCTTCGAGTCCGGCAACAAGCAGACGAAGAAGCCGATTGGGTCAAACTAGACACCACCGACGACGCTGTCTTCTATGAACGGCCACGGTTTGTGCAGCACGCAGATGACGGCTACAGAGAGAAGCTCACTGCACTGTACAGACAGAAACTTAGAGAAGGTTCGCGTGTTCTCGACTTGATGTCAAGTTGGGTGTCGCACCTGCCGGAAGACATGAGCTTTGAGAGGGTTGAGGGGCAGGGTATGAATGAGGCGGAATTGCTGGCCAACACAAGACTTCACCGATTTTGGGTACAGGTATGGGGACTTTCTTGCCCTTTTCTTATTGTGGTTATCCATCGGAGAGATCTGCACGTTCTTTGTGAAGGTGGTGAGAGCTGGGTGAGAGGCTTCCCTGTCCCTTTGAACCGCATCCAAGTCCTGTTCTCTGCAATAAATTGTTTCACAATGCCTGCCAAAACTTCATGTAAGCGAAAGGCAGCCTGACTTGGGTCTTGTCAAGAATCCTCATCACAGTACTCTTGTTTTTCCGAAGCATACTGAGGCGCGAGTGTAATATGGATCTGAAAGCATCGTAGATCAATCTGCTTGCAGGATCTGAACAAAAGTCAACACCTTCCCCACAAGGACGGCACATTTGATGCTGTGCTCATCTCACTTGCCATTCAATACCTAGAGCGACCAAAGGAAGTAAGATGCAAAACGAAAGAAGCTTCTCATCGTTTCTCTCTTAGTCTATTGGGCTTTTGTGGCATCCCCTTGCTTTCCGAGTTCCTGTAATAAGCCCTGTACAGCTCGTTGGCAGCTACATGGAGGTTTCAGGTTATCTTGTTTTTGCAATTAGAAGTTCTCTTCTGAAGACTTTCTTATGGTCCTTTTGAGCGGAAGCCGTCTTCCTTGTAGAAGGTGGTCGCTGCACTTGCGGCAAAGATCCAGCATTAGATTCATAGATTGCTTCAAGATTTCTAGTCAACCATGACTTGGTGCGCGTTGACAAGCTCGACCAAAAATCGACCTGTGAAAACGAAGCGCCGACCACCTCGTTCAATTTCGCTTCCTTGCTCTCTAGCATCTCGCACTCTGTAGGTGGCACTGGAGTCATGTAGGACAATCATAGATCGCCTTGACGCCTGCGGCCAGGTGATGACGAGACTTCATGGGTCTAAGATCTTTCCTCCGGTTGGGAGATTTACCTTCCTGTGTTCACTTTTATGAACAGATCATTCAGGAGATTGCGCGCGTCTTGGCCCCTGGAGGCCTTCTCATAGTCACGTTCAGGTGAGACGCTAAAATCGAACGGATAAGACCATCACAAAAGTTGCTAATCTACGTATCTCGCGATTGAGCAAGATCCGAGACTCACCCACGACTTCTTGAACGAGAATTACTGACTACTCTTGCTGTTCACCATGTAATTCGCAGACTGAATTTCTGCTTAATAGCAAGTCAAATCAGGTCAACGGCCTCTCATTGATTCACTTTCGATATCACCTGTGCAGCAAGCACTCTTATGGGGAAAAGGCTGTTGCCGGTTGGCTGCGGCGTACTGCTGAGAAGTGAGCGTCGAAACATCTCGACTTCCGATTTGACCGAGCAAAAGGTTGAAGGCGCAAGTATCCCCGTATATTGAAGAACGTTGGATTTGAGAGGGCGCGAATCGAGATTGTCAATGGGCTGAAGACATATAGGTTGTAGGCTTTCACAGTCTGCCGCGCGAGATTTTTGTTCTACAAACGTGAGAGGTGTCTGCTCAATGACCTGATCTAATTCACGAACGTACCTCTAACGCTCGTTAGCAGGACACTTACAGTCATTCTGGAGAGCTGATCTGAAACATCAAATTAATGTCACCCGCCTCTTTCTGTTGTGGATCAGCCGATCAGTAAATATTGATTCGTCGTTTATTGTTGCATTTCTTTGTGAACAGGAGACTCGACCTTGTCAAAAGCATGTTGCAGACGGCTGGCTTCGAGGACATCGAAACGGTATTAACTCACGAGCTCGGAGACGAAAATGTCTCTACGTTATCCGATCCCTTTTATGCTATTGTTGGAGTGAAGAGGGAGAATACAGATTTGAGGTGAGCTCCGGATACCTTTGAAGCAGCTTGGACAAGGTCTTAGGTTTCGCACTTCGTTCGAAGTTTATAATATGCTCCATGGATGAGGTTGATCGACAATCTCAGCCGACTAGTATTGTCCATGCAACTATGATGAAGGCACTCAAGGCACTCAAGGCACTCAGGCACTCAAAAACCACTTACTATGTACTTATTATTGATTGTCATCCAATCGAACCGTGCTTTGCAGGACTGAAGCGCTCGAAGACTTACCTACACATGATTCGCTGGCGTTCCAGACTTTGTCACAGGCGGAGGACTCGGTAGAAGATGGCTCTTCCTCTGACCTATTAGAAACGTGGGCCAATGCTTACGAAGTCATGGCAAAAGAAGCTATGGACCTCGGAATTCCAAGGAAGGCCATTCCCAAGCTAGAACCTCCCTTAACCAGGACGTCAGTAATCGAAGCGAGAGATTTGCTAAGTGGGATTATTCAGTCTCGCATGTGTTCAAATCTTTAACTCCTGTTTCTTGGTAGCTCATCGCGTCTAAGAGACTTCTCGATCATATCGCAAAGTAACAGTAAAAGTATGCTTGTGTTCAGCAGAGCAAATCCGAGAAGTATGCTGATTCAAAACCAGATTCCATGATCGAGCTCTTTGACCAGCGATGGTCAATGGCAGCGACCGTGGCGGTTGCTCGGTTGAGATGTTATGGCCATTTCTAATGACCAAGCTTTCGATGTTGAGAATGTGCTCATACGCACGAAACATAAAACGTTCGATCGGATTTTTTCTTTTATATTTCGGCTCAGCATTGCCCGCTCGGAGTTGCTCCGTTGAATTGTATCCGAGATTGGAGGCCCGATTGTGATTTTATTTGGTATCAGCACACCACACTAGACAATTGCCTCGATCGTCGCTACATATTTTGAGTTTTCGGCCATGTTTGAACTGCAATTGGGAAATCTCGGTATATCCCAATCTAACAACAGAACTCAATGAATCCAGCTTCGGACTTCTGAAGTGAACTGTCACTGTCACTGTTCCAAGTGAAATGCCAAATGGTCTCAAAGTTCAACCGATGTTAAAACAGTACCAAAATCCCTTACTAGTAGGAACCTAGAAACTTATAAACTTAGGGATCATCGTCACAGTGGGAACCTAGAAACTTATAAACTTAGGGATCATCGTCACACTGTGACGATGACGATGATCCCTTAGTTAATAAGTTTCTAGGTTCCTACTAGGATACTAGTAAGGGTTTTGGTACTGTTTAACGTTCGGTTGAACTTTGAGACCATTTGGCATTTCACTTGGTTGAAAATTGCACGTTGCAACTTGCGAGCAGACTTCACACGCGGAAAGCCGGATCTTCAAAATGG